TTTTTTATTTTATCCCCCCCCCCCCCTCCTTTTTTTTTTTTTTTTGTATTTTTTCCTCAATGTTATTTAGAAATGGCGGGAGATTTTGTCCCCGAAGAGGAATTCAAGGGAACAGGAATTCAGAGATACTTCAATACATACACTTTGAGAGGACGATTGAATGTTAGTATCTTAGTATTGTATCTTCACGGTAGTATGTTGGTACGGTATCGTAGTATGCTGGTACATCAGTATGTTTATGTTTCAAATGGCTAATAACTTAGTATGTTTGCATAATTACTCTTCCGTTAGTAATTAGAAGCATGTTAGTACCTCATCGGTGGCGTTATTATAAGGGGAGGGGGTGCTAGCCGCATCAGGTGACACTCTCACGGGGGTGGAGATGGGAAGGACAACCGAATTGCATATTTCAAAGTGCTCACTCGAGTTGGTTTTATAACATATCTAATTTGTCTAATTTACGGTTTATACAAGAGCTGGGTGCCACCAGACTTTATACAAGAGCTGGGTGCCTCCAGACTTTATACAACAGCTGGGTGTCACCAGACTTTATATAAGAGCTGGGTGTCACCAGACTTTATACAAGAGCTGACTGCCACCAGACTTTATACAAGAGCTGGGTGCCACCAGACTTTATACAACAGCTGGGTGCCACCAGACTTTATACAAGAGCTGGGTGCCACCAGACTTTATACAACAGCTGGGTGCCACCAGACTTTATACAAGAGCTGGGTGCCACCAGACTTTATACAAGAGCTGGGTGCCACCAGACTTTATACAAGAGCTGGGTGCCACCAGACTTTATACAAGAGCTGGGTGCCACCAGACTTTATACAAGAGCTGGGTGCCACCAGACTTTATACAAGAGCTGGGTGCCACCAGACTTTATACAAGAGCTGGGTGCCACCAGACTTTATACAAGAGCTGGGTGCCACCAGACTTTATACAAGAGCTGGGTGCCACCAGACTTTATACAAGAGCTGGGTGCCACCAGACTTTATACAAGAGCTGGGTGCCACCAGACTTTATACAAGAGCTGGGTGCCACCAGACTTTATACAAGAGCTGGGTGCCACCAGACTTTATACAAGAGCTGGGTGCCACCAGACTTTATACAAGAGCTGGGTGCCACCAGACTTTATACAAGAGCTGGGTGCCACCAGACTTTATACAAGAGCTGGGTGCCACCAGACTTTATACAAGAGCTGTGTGCCACCAGACTTTATACAAGAGCTGGGTGCCACCAGACTTTATACAAGAGCTGGGTGTCACCAGACTTTATACAACAGCTGTGTGCCACCAGACTTTATACAAGAGCTGGGTGCCACCAGACTTTATACAAGAGCTGGGTGTCACCAGACTTTATACAACAGCTGTGTGCCACCAGACTTTATACAAGAGCTGGGTGCCACCAGACTTTATACAAGAGCTGGGTGTCACCAGACTTTATACAACAGCTGGGTGCCACCAGACTTTATACAACAGCTGGGTGTCACCAGATTTTATACAAGAGCTGGGTGTCACCAGACTTTATACAACAGCTGGGTGCCACCAGACTTTATACAACAGCTGGGTGTCACCAGACTTTATACAAGAGCTGTGTGCCACCAGACTTTATACAAGAGCTCTGTGCCACCAGACTTTATACAAGAGCTGGGTGTCACCAGACTTTATACAACAGCTGTGTGCCACCAGACTTTATACAAGAGCTGGGTGCCACCAGACTTTATACAAGAGCTGGGTGTCACCAGACTTTATACAACAGCTGTGTGCCATCAGACTTTATACAAGAGCTGGGTGCCACCAGACTTTATACAAGAGCTGGGTGTCACCAGACTTTATACAACAGCTGGGCGCCACCAGACTTTATACAACAGCTGGGTGCCACCAGACTTTAGCCGGGTGCCACCATATTTTATACAAGAGCTTGGTGCCACCATACTTAATACACACCCTGGGTGCCACCATACTTAATACAACTGCTGGGTGTCACCAGACTTTGAGCATGTATCTTATCTTGTTCCAAAAACTCATATATGGGTGAGTTGGGGAAGGTTGTGTAATTGTGAGCTTACAGCACCGGGTGACACCTGCCCTTGTTACGCCTCTCGTAAAAGTTACTTGTTTAAAGGAGTTACTGAAATTTATAAGCTGAAAGAAAAGACACTTAATCATGCTACAGCAATTCCTCCTAATGGAAATAATTGAAGTTCATGGACCTTCCCATAAAGAAAATTGTTCTTCAAACTTATTTTTTTCTTTTTCTGTAGCTAATGGCAACCTATACTGGCTTGTTCGCCATCTTCAAGTTAACCTTAATTTGTTATTTCAGTGGGTAATTGCAACATATACTGGTGTGTTTGCCATGTTTGCCTACTACAAGTATCGCAAGAACAGGAAAAACAGAGAGGCTTCTCCATCCAATAAGGCAAAGAAGTTTAAGAAGAAATGCCAGAAGACTGAATATTATTGAAGTGTCTTGAGCTGAGATAAATCAGTCCGGTTATTTTTTATTTTGTGATCAGTCAAATTGACATTCCACAATTTATTACATTTTAGTAATTACTATTAACTATTAATATTAATAAATGTATAAATCAATGAATGCTTCTAATGCATCTATTATTTATTTACTTAACCTTGTTTATTGGCTTTGTTGATTTGAGTTTCAAGTGATTATTTTGAGTTTTGTTCAAGTCATACATATGAAATGTGTGGCTATACAGCAGTTAAAAATTGCTTTGGCTAACATATTTTCTTAAAGTTTTTATCAGCCTAAACTACTAAAACAATGATAAGCTGAAGAAAGGAAAAAAAAATCAATAAAAAATCAACAGATAAGAGATTAGGAGTTGAGATTTCTTTTATTGATGCTGTATTATTATATAAAATATTTACAAATGTCATTGACCTTCTTATTCAATGATTATTTTACACAAACTGAGATCACTTATAAAGCAAAACTACATTTGTTAAGAAATATTTTCTAAATAAATAATAAACCAAGTTCATCAAGGGTGGATTATTCACATTATCCTTCTACACTTCAGCACCTATTTGTGAGTTTGCTGAGGCAACCTCTCTAATTTATTAAAAAAGAAATTTAAACACATAAGGAATCTCAATTCAGGTTAAAGTTTACATCAGCTAAAGTTCTTGTATTTGTAGAAATTCAATAGCATATTAAAAAAAAAACAACAGGGTCTCTAAAGTCAATATCAGCATGATAATGCTAGCTGCAGAAAAAAGAACTTCTGGTTGGACTCCTATCATAGAATCACATGTCAAATAGTGTTCTCTAGATAAGAAAAGAAAATGGAACTCTAAATAAAATTGTCATTCACTTTAAAGATTGTCTTTTTTTCAGTTTTATAGTGTCCATTTTATCAATTAGGTTTAGTTTTATTGCCATCTACTATAAACCTAATCTATAGCCCCTTTAGGTGTTAGTTTTACTGCCATCTACTATAAACCTAATCTTTAGCCTCTAAACTCTTGATTTTGAAGTCAGTGTAGCACTCATCAGTTTTGCTAGCTCAGAGACAATTTTGTGTAACTTAACCAACCTGTACTAAGCACTTTCTAAAAACAATTTCATGTTTCATGGGAATGTCCAGTACCACTATAAAAAATGTTACGTGTGCAGGCTTCATGCACCCACTTATTTAATCAAATTAACTTAAAATCTGCAGGAACAGTGCTGCAAAAAAAAAAAAAAAAAAAAAAAAAAAAAAAAACAAAAAGGGGTAAAAAAAAAAAAAAAAAAAAAAAAAAAAAAAAATGCAGGCTTAATGCACCCACTTATTTAATCAAATTAAAATAAAAACTGCAGGAAAAGGGCTGAAAAAAAAAAAAAAAAAAAAAAAAAAACTAACACCATAAGGTGTTCAAAAATTCTAAATGACAAGGCAAAGATAAATGCTGCCAAATAAGGTGAAGATAATCTCACAGTAAACTGCCATGACAAAACTGTACAGCTGCAGCTGCTGACTGTAGCAAACGCTAACCATTTTGTTTCAACTCCACATATTATCTCAGTAAAAATGCTGCCCTTTTAGAACATACAAAAATATATGAAAATATTTATATTATTTGAATTGAAGTTGATCAATTCAAAGTATTACAAAAATAATGTATGAAAAATTAATTAATATTTGAGCACTTCTGATGGGTTTGAATATAGCAACAAAGGAAATAAAAGGTCCTTTGTATATAGTCATAGTTTATTTGAAAATTTAATACTAGACATTGAAAATAACATATGCAGATTTTTAGTTTATGACTTCAAGCTTGATTTATAATAGAAATGGAATTGTTTAGATTTAGCACTGTCCACCGTTCCCTCTGTAACACTGGGTCCAAGCATCCATATAAATACAGATGTATTAAAAAAAAAAAAAACTCAGCTTGACAACATGATTAAAATTAAAAATATTTTTCTCATAAATTATAGCTTTAATTCTTTAAGACCAGTTGATTGGTAGATCCAAATAGTATAGGATCAACTTGTACAAATTAAAACAATGCTTATATGTCTCATTCTGTGAGGCTCAAAATGGCATTTTTTAAATTTTTGTTTTAAGAATCTGTAATATTAATTAGAAATAAAAAAGCAATAATACTTAATGTATGTTAAAAAAAATTATGGAAGTTTATGTGACTATGAAGATTCAACATAAGAATGTTTGAATTGGGGAGGGGGGGGGTGGTGACTCTAAGATATTGCTGCAATTGACTTGGATATATGAAATAAATACACAACCAGTCATTAGCTGAACAGATGAAATCAAATATCAATAATAATTAGGATAGAATTTTAAAGATAAAAAGTGCATTAGCAATCACAAATAGCAAAATATACCAACATGTAACAAGTTAAGTTATCTTAAATTAAATTCAGAGAGATAGAAGGAAAAAGAAAAAATGAGAGGGTTGATTAACAGTCTCTATCAACAGACACACACAAAAATGAATGTCTCCGACATAGTCTCCTTGTTGTGATGGATGTTTCCAAAACATTTTCATGACGAAAAACTTTTTATGGTTTTTTAAATACATACATCATAATTGGAATATTCTATGCCAAATCTGATGGAATAATTTTGTTGTTTACTTTCACAATGCTGATGGTGGATGTTCCTGATGTACTAATTGATGCTGACATTAGTGATATCACGAATGCCAGGGGGCGCTGTAGTCTTACAAGGTGTTTTACCCTGGGGCTTAAGGTCCTGTAACAGCTTGCGATGTTCACTCTGCAACTCTATGTATTTCTGACAGAGACAAAAAAATTATTTAAGAACAGGTTTGATGTGTGAATATTGGGCGTAGATCAACTACACTACAGATTTGATACAAAGTTGTTTCAAAAGCCTTAAGATCCTAAAAGCTGAAACGTTATTTACCATTATTGTTTTGCGTCTTTTAAGACATTATTACAAGAATTTTTCAAAAAATTATACAATTTTTTTTTTAAACCAAAATTTATATATCAATTACAATGGAGCTATTTTAACCAGAGGAAACAATTAGAAAACTCCATGCATGTTTAATAGGCTGCGATACACACAACATTTAATTCATACACAAACACATCTTGTATGATAATAAATGAAGGACTGTGTGAATGAAATAGTGGCACATGGTATGTGGAGGCTTGAAATATATAGACAAAACAATTAAGAATGTTTCATTTGTCCTGTCTGCTGAGGAAGGCTCCTAGCCAAAGCGTTCTTCTGTTATTGTCCCGTCTGCTGAGGAAGGCTCTAGTTCTTTTATTGTCCTGTCTGCTGAGGAAGGCTCTAGTTCTTCTTTTATTGTCCTGTCTGCTGAGGAAGGCTCTAGTTCTTTTATTTTCCTGTCTGCTGAGGAAGGCTCTAGTTCTTTTATTGTCCTGTCTGCTGAGGAAGGCTCTAGTTCTTTTATTGTCCTGTCTGCTGAGGAAGGCTCTAGTTCTTCTTTTATTGTCCTCTCTTTCTATTCCAAACTTCTTTTTTTTGTTCTTTTTTTTATGCGTTCCTTGTTTTTAAAAAAAAAAAAAATTGTGCCAATGTATCTATTTTTTTTTTTTTTTTTTTATTGTTTTTTTTTTTTAAAAAAAAAAAAAAATTGTGCCAATTTTTCTTGGAAAAAAAAATTGAAAAAAAAAAAAAAAAAAGAACGCCACTTACCTTTGTTAACTCATTGTATTCCTGGTTTTTCTTATCAAAAAGACGAATCTTTTGATTAGTGTTTGTATGACCTATAATGCGATTGCTTTCTTCAACTAGCTGAGAATTCAGTTCCTTCAGCGTTGCCAATTCCTGCAGGAAATGTTAAGTATTGTTCAAATCAAAGTGAAATGATCCATTGTTGTGTATAGAACTCCATTAGTCTAAGTAATTGTGAGCCAAATATACAAAAGCCCAACACCTCTGATACCAAAAACTAACAGCTCTGATATTGATAAATAGCTTTTCTATAATCCACCAACACCTTTGGCTTATAAAATTTGACTAAACCAAAAATAAGACTATTTTTCTTCTATCACCAGTTTCTTATTTAGCATGAAAATAAAAAGGAACTATATTTATTATAGAAAGCTCCAAATCAGTGGATCTCAATAGATGAGGTGCACCATTATGACAGGAAGAATAAAATAAATCTTTATCTTTTGATAAATATAGTTGTAATACATTTTGGGAAATCAAGGTATAGAAATAAAAGTAATTTTTTTAATGGCTTTTTTTTTTTTTTTTAACTAGCCCTGTTTGAAATAATAAACAATTTTTACTGGTTCCCAAAAAACAAAAAAAATTATGAATAGTTAATACATAATAAAAATGCCAACATTTAAATATCCTCTTTCTCAGCACTAGAAGCAGTAAAATGTCACGAGTTCTGTTTCATTATTTAAAAATAATGTATTTAATAATGTTCAATCTTTGCTGCCAGTGTTAGAAAATTTAGTTCGTTCCAGAATATTTGTAAACATCTGGTTTTCAATTAACTTGGGGAAACAATGAATTAGGAAAAAAGTGTTTTTTTTAATTAAAAAAAAAAAGCAACAAAATAAATTGAAATAAATTTCAGTATGACATAAACATGGAGCAGCCCAAAGGAAAGAAAAGGTTTGAACCACTCCTCTACAAGGACCCCTTACATCTCTAAGCTTTGTTTTCTCTTCTTGAAGACTTTCAATCTTTGAATTTAACTCTGTCTTTTCAGTGTAGTGGCTGTCAAGGATACACTGCAGCCTGAAATAGAGAAAAGTTCACCATTCAGCCGTGCCAGAATAATGTAGAAATATCAGAAATAACTCTAAAAGAATAATCATCTAAAGAACATTTTGGTAACCCTGAATCACTCCTTTTCTGTCTGAATGGTACAACGAAAAGCCAGTGCCACTTCCTATTGAAACATAGTTGATTGCAATGCTATTGTCTTAAAAGAGATAATAATTTTTAAAGTAAGCTTTTAACACTAGATCTATACAAATCTGCATAAGACAAAGTAAATATGAGTAAATAAAAACAAGTTTTCTTACCTGGCCACTTCCTCAACACTATTCTGCTCCTCTTGTTTAGAGGCAATGAACCTATGGGAAGAGAGTGTCTGGTAAGTCAATTTGTGTCTAACACCTTACTTACTTAATGCTGAATAATAATGGCAATCTATTAGCCAACATACAAACTTAATGCTCATTGTGAATGGATATCTATGCAATTTTGGACTGACTATAATAGTCAAGTGTCCCATGACTTCATAAGAATCACCGTTTTTAAGGATTGAACCAAACATAATGTAGCATTAAAATTACAAGGAGCGGGCAAATAGAGAAGGTTCCACATACTCAGATTCAATTCTGTTTTTCTCCTCTTGAAGGGCTTTCATCTTGGCATCTAGCTCCCGTGTCTTTCTCTGCTCCTCTTTAAGCTCAAGATCTCTCTCCTTCAACATGTTCTCCAAAGTCTTGATGCTGGTGGAAACATTCAAGGAATCAATTATGGTAGGGAATAAAAACATTTTCTTCTTAAGTGATACCTGATAGTGAGTTGTGTCTTTGCATGTGTGCAGATATCTTGCTTAAGTCACAATTTTAATGAGTTGTGTCTTCCTAGATATTTTGCTTTAGTCACAATTTTAATGAGTTGTGTCTTCCTAGATATTTTGCTTTAGTCACAATTTTAACGAGTTGTGTCTTTGCTTGTGTGTAAATATCTTGCTCTAGTCATGACGCTAAGTTAGTTCTACGACCGGCTGGACTCACATATCTTTGTTGTTGGCCTTCACTGTGTTCAAGGTCACTTGAAGCTCATCAATCATTTGTTTAGCCTCGTTGTAACTTTCCTTGATTTTGTCCAGCTCCATGACCTGGGACTGGAATAAATTCAAGTGACACGGAGACTTATTTAAACAGTGAACATGGGTATTTTCTTGATTGAAATTGTTTTTCTTGACCACCCTAAACGGTTGGATTGTACCTGGTATCAAATACTTTCAAAAGCTGCTCTCAGTTTAATAAGGTTTATGATTATGTTTAGCTAATTCTGTAAATAGAATTTGTAATTGTACATTTAGAACTGTTTGGACATAGAAATGAAAATAATTGTGGTACCATTCAGTGAGTACCTCAGTTGTCTATTAGCAGGTGCTCAAAAATAGCAGACCAAAAAAAAAATAAAAAATAAATTGGGCTCAAATTTCCTAGCTGCAATGTAGATAAGTTAATCCAATATCAAACAGAAAACTTTGAGAACCGAAACAATTTATATTATGTATAATGAAAACAATAAAGAAATCTAATAGCTTTCAATTTCCTAATTAATACATATAAAAAACATAAATCACAGGAATTTGATAGATTGAACCCTGTACATACAATGGATGAAACCCTGTACATACAATGGATGAAACCCTGTAAATATAATCTTTCGGCCTGCACAAGTTTTGCATAAAGTATTACAGCCTGCCTTACATTTTAAGTTGTGCAGGCCTGTTATATAACATTAGATGAATATTTTATACTTTTAAATGGATTTAATTAAAATTTAATTATTTTTTATAATATTTTTTCTTAAGTTTAATTCAGGATGTTAAAATTCAATTCTAATCCAAAACAATTTGATTTAAAAAATATTAACCACATCATGTGTTTTATAAAAAATTAATAGCATATACTTCAAAATCTAAAGAAATCCTTAAAAATACAAAATTAAACAATCTATTTAAAAATAAAATTAAATAAAAGAAAAATACAAGTTAAAATTATTGATTTAAATACCATTGACTTCATTATGTTTAATCTTTATAATCATTAATCTATTTCAAAATCTAAAGTAATCTAAAATTATTTTTTAAAAATGAAGTTCAAGAAACAAATAAGATTTAAAAATAAAAAATACAATTTAAATACAAAAAATTTATTTAAATACCATTAACCATGTTTTTTTTAATCTAAACATTTTATTTAATTTAAACATTAATGCTTCAAAATGTCAAGAAATCCCTTTAAAAAAAAGATGTAAATAATTAAAAATGTTAAAATCATATTTAAATCCAATTTATATATATTTTTATTTAAAAAATCACGATTTTTACAGCACTCATTTTATATAGTGTTGGTCTTTAAAGAAACTTGTTAAAAAAAGATGAAAAATTTAAGCATAGACCAGAACTGATAAATCAAATGTTCATCTGGTGACGTAAGGACAGACTGTTGTTAACATAACCATATGACATTAGTTATGGTTGCACTTGTGACAGGAGGGAACCTTCAATGTGTCTCATGTACATAAATGCCTGATATCCAGTCAACAGCTTATGTGTGTATTTAAGCAAATAAATCTATTTCCACTTACTTTCAAAAGTTCATTTTCTTCATTTTTCTCACGCCTCTTCTGCTCATATTCTTGTAGCATGTTGCTCAGTTTCTTGTAGTTAACTAGTAAACTTAGGGGGGTCAAGGAAAAAATCTTGTGGTACAGGAGAACTACTACATTACATGGTATGGGACACTACTTACACTATAGGCTAGACTTCTTACGCTGTAGACTAGACTTCTTACACTATAGGTTGCATGTATTTAAATAAAAAAGTTGACCTAATCGCTTTATTTCTTTTCTATCTAAGCTGGTAAGATATGATAATTCAAATTAATTTAATAACCCTCTTGAGACTGGACCTTTTTATATCACATGCCTAGCATTTTTTTCAATTTATTTTATACAAAATATAAAGTAATTATTTTACAAATATAAAACTGTATATATATTAGGAGGAAATTGAATGAAATAACTCGATTCTTATGAATCAAACTGAATCTCACTATTTTAAAAAATGAGTTATCCCAATTTGCATAATTTATGCATGCAATTTGTTTTTACACTTAGAATAAACATGTCTTACTTGCAGATTTTTGTTGAGTGTTGAAGCCTAAATAAGTCCTAACAAACACTTGAATGAGATTCAATATGAAAAAGTGCATAAAATATTCCACTGGGGGTGCTTAAGTTGTGTGTCATAAGTCTAGGACCTACATTTTGTAAGCATTTAAAAGGGTCTCTTGGTACCAAAATAAAAAAAGGGAAAAAACATAAAATAAAATGACAGGACAGAACACCACAAGCTATCAATGGAAGCTGCCATTTAAATGCAGAGTTCAGCAAGAAATTGGAGAAGCAATCTGATTAGCTGGTAGGTATGCAAGGAAGCCAATATCGAGGCTTGTATTATTGGGCCAATGGACCAATCCTTTGTCTTTTTCGGATCTGACTCTTTGGCCGATAGATCGGCTCGGCCAAGTCATCTCAAGAGGGTTAATAACTGATAATGTTAAAAAGTTTATCTTGTTTGCACAGCTGAAGTTTTTTACCCTTAATCTATTCAAAGGATACTTTTCAAGTTCAATATTTTTCTGATTGAGCAGTTTTTTTAAGCTGTCATTGCTTTCATCTGAGTTGGTGGCCTCTCTGAGACGTTCTTTGAATCTCTGTATAGTCTCTTGCATGACTTTATCTTTCTCTTCCAACTGTAAAACATGGTACAACACAAGTCAATGTAAGACAATATGAGGAACAACACAACACAAGTCAATGTAAGACAATATTAGGAATAACACAAGTCAATGTAAGACAATATAAGGAACAACACAAGTCAATGTAAGACAATATGAGGAACAACACAACACAAGTCAATGTAAGACAATATTAGGAATAACACAAGTCAATGTAAGACAATATAAGGAACAACACGAATCAATGTAAGACAATATAAGGAATGCCAACATGTACAAGAAAAGTCAATGTAAGACAATATAAGGAACAACACAAGTCAATGTAAGACAATATAAGGAATGCCAACATGTACAACACTACACAAGTCAATGTAAGACAATATAAGGAACAACACAAGTCAATGTAAGACAATATAAGGAATGCCAACATGTACAAGAAAAGTCAATGTAAGACAATATAAGGAACAACACAAGTCAATGTTAGACAATATAAGGAACAACACAAGTCAATGTAAGACAATATAAGGAACTAGTTAAAGCCCGCCAAACATTGGCGACGGCAATGCGTGAACTTCCCATCAACTAAAGTTACTTGACAAAACATGAACTCAAGTATTGCACATTTATGAATCCCAATTTTTGCTACAACCCCCCCCCCCCCCCCCCCAACCCACCCCCCAAGATACGTCACTGCACAGTTTTTTTTTTCCACGCCCATGAACTATCGCAGTGGACTAACTTCTCTTTTCTTTCCCTCTTCCCTATTTAATCTCTCACCCTCTTATTTTCTGTCACAATTTTTTTGCTGCCCTCTGGGATACTACTTCTCAGCTAAGTGCTATTTAAATTTTAAAAAAATATTTTATTCTGTTTTTTCTGTTGTTTGCTTGCTGACGAAGGCTTCCTGCCGACACGTTCGTTGTTTTGTTGCGATCCTTTTTTCAGGTTCCACCTTACTTTGTTTTACTCATTTCCTATTTTTCTAACCTGATTGCAGTCTCTCCCCTTATTATCTTCATTAAAGCTGTATTACTATAGCTAGCATAATCAACAGAGGAATTATGTCTCCGTTCCTCTTAATTACTATAAAATTCATCATCTGAGTCCATAATTAACAAAATTGCTATTTATCAGTTTAAAAACTCAAACTTTGACAAAAATCGGACTTTAAACAAGCTATTTTTTATTTAAAAGTTGCAATATACCCATTTATGAATGAATAAACATGCTAGGAAGCGTGAGCAGTGAAACGGAGATTATTCACGAATGTTTCATTTTGCCATGTTATATTATTGAAATCGGTCATCACCTCCACTTGGCATTGTGTTTAAATGAAAATTTCCATAAAATAAAAGTTTATTTGCCAGCTGTTTAGATTAAAAATTTAAACCAACAAAAAAAATATGTTTTTTTAGAGAACTGACCTTGTTTTTTAAGTCCTCATTAGTTGATAACCTCTCTTTGCAGACCATCTGGTGAAGAAGTTTGTAAGAAAATGATCAATACATTTTACATTTCATAAACATCAGAAAAGAATGGCAATGGATTACATTTAAGACATTTCTAAAAATCAGTTTTAAATTTACTGGTTGCTCAAGCTTTATGAAAAGAAACCTTTCAGCCATCATCTCTGGCTAGCCATTGGGAACCAGATGTTGGCCTGATTGGCTTAGGTATCTTACCAGAACCAATATCTTCCCTCAGAGGAAGTCTCAAAAAGTGAAATTAAAAAAAAATTAATAATATAAGTTCCTTGAAAGAGCATAACTTATCCAGAGGGCAACTTTTACTTTTTTGTTCTATTTTTCTCAGTAATTTCAAACTGAATCAATAGCACAAGGTTTTTTTCAGAGTCCAATGCTTTGAACAGAAATATGTAAACTCAATCAAGTTCACTAGCCCGTCTATAGGTTAGAAAGTGCATGAAGCACTAGCGGAGTTTACAATCTTGAGCGGTAACTAACAAAGAATCGCACACCAGGCTAAGACAACACCCTCACAACAGTTTACGTGTGGCCAAAGACAGAAAAGCCCGTGGTTATGTGTAGCTTAGTTCATAATGCAATTCTCCACATATTTGCGTTAGTCTTTGTGCAAATACACCAGACAATGTCCACTAGGCAGGGCATACATAGAAAACTATTTGGGTCAAAGCATCTTGCTTCCCTCCTTACAGCCAACAGATCAAAAGTTTCTATCCAGCATGCCGCAGCTAAAAAGCACATCCCACCATGACTTACCCCACAAGCTTTTGTGTTCTGGACCCAGACACTCATCAATCCCTTGCATATGCTAATTTGGCATGGGAAAAAGGAAAGCATCTAGTGCCCCTGCAGCCCCCACCCAGGGGTGTGTTCCAACGTGTCGCCTGGAAGCAGTGACCAGCCGCACACGAGCCCACCCTCTTGCCACCTGACAGTCACCATACATGCTATCATAGACACCACCTCACCAGCACACGAGGAAGCAAAAGTGCAAGTCACATGGAACCAATTTTCATCTGACGTGGCCTTCATTGAATAGCCATTTAAAATAGGTTACAATATCCTGGCTGATCAATGTCAAAACCAATTTGTTTGAGTAAGTTGGAAAAACAGTTTGAACTGTTAACCTTAGATGACAACAGAATTAAGCATGCTAAGGTTAAATGAAACCAGCTTATTTTATTGAATTTCAACCAAAATTTTGGGGAACTCCATTGAGGGACACAGCTGCATTCTTACCTCTTTAGCTTTAAGTTGTTCTTGGAGGTTATTGATTATGTCTGCTTGTCTCAACAATGAGTTGTTTGCACTCTCCTGGTCCTCTTGTAAGTTGGACATCTGAAATGGACTATAACATTATCTTTGCGCATGCAACATGACCCAACCTGGCCTCTTGGAACCAAATCTAGGATGTATTTTATTCAAGCATAAACATCAGTGCTTTAATTCAGTAAATCAGCTTAGATGTTGAATACTAAATATGCAAGCGCTCATTTCAAATTTCCTTGGCGTGGAAAGCGGCGGCCGTAGAGTACAAGGGGGAGTAAGAAACTGAATACACTGTAGCTTTGGCCTTTTCAGTTCTTAGATAAGGGTACTATTTAACAAACATTGGATTCAAGCAATTTTCTTGAGGAATTTTGGGATGTCAATTATTCCATTCAAACTACATGCAAATTAGGAACTACTGAAAAATTTCACAGCCAGCCAAAATAAATATAACGATTAGTTATTTAAACCCCCTCCCAGTAAAGACATCAGTAGTTTAACTGATCTATTAATAAATACAATTAAAAAGCATGTCAAGTTTCTACTTTCAAACCAACTCACTTCAAAGTCCTTTCGCTGTAAGGCATTTTCAAAGTTCTGTTTCATCTCAGACATCTTTTGAAGTGTGCTGTTAAGTTGAGCGGATGTCTTCTCCAAATCTCTCTTGGCATCCTCTGCCTCCATTTTATAATTTTCTATCTCGGATTTAAGATTCATGTTGGAAGCTTCCTTGCCAGCCAAGTTCATTTTCATCTCATGCATTAAGTTCATCATATTACTGATAATTTCCTGGAAATCAAAGTTGTAACATGCAATTAAAATATATTTTTATTTAGCCACCACCATCATTTAGACTTGGAAGAATGAAAGCCTTGTGGTGCAATGCAGATTTGAACTAGAGGAATGAACCACAGGGTTGAGCCAGATGGGGTTGCATGTTCAAACATGTACAGTCTGACCACAGCAATGGACAGAGAGCAACTCTGAGCAAAACATCAGCCACTTTAAGGAAGTAGCAAATTTAAGGATACTAATCTACAGTCTCTCCCAAGCAAATTTTCCATGGGTTAGCATTAGATTGCTGTCGGACTCAAACCTACTATTATACTTGCCTAGTAGTTACACCTGCCATAAGCACTTTAAAATGTTAAAAAAGACAACATTGTCTCATGATGGGTACAAGTCTCAAATACAGAAAATATATTATACATATACAAATTTTTAAAACTTAATATTGTTTAAATCTAGAAATAACAGATATCTGCGCAATATGTATGCTGATCTGAATGTCACAAGGGATTTACCTTATTTTCCTCAATAAGTTTTCCTTGTTGCTCAATGGTTCTATCTTGTTCAGCCTTGGCGGCAAGGACAACCTCCAGCTCATTTTCTTTGTAGTCTAAATTAACTTCTGCTTGCTCTTTGAACTCCTTGTAGTTGATTAGATCACCTGCATTCTTTAAGGCCTATAGAATCAATCATATGAACTTAATACCTATAGAATCAATCATATGAACTTAAGGCCCATAGAGTAAGTCATATGAATTTAAGGCCCATAGAGTAAATCATATGAACTTAAGGCCCATAGAGTAAATCATATGAACTTAAGGCCCATAGAGTAAATCATATGAACTTAAGGCCCATAGAGTAAATCATATGAACTTAAGGCCCATAGAGTAAATCTTATGAACTTAAACTAAAATTTTGAGCAAACTTTCAACCTTTCTTAAACATATAAAGATAACCCAAATGTTTTTTTTTAAATTCTTGTTTTGTTATCCTATGTTTTAGTCCAGTTGTTTGAATCCTAAATTATAACTGAGACCTATTTGGACAAACATCAAACACTTTTCAAAACAAAATGAAAAAACAATCACTCTTATTTCTTGTTCCAGCTTTTCCCTTTTCTTGACTTCTCTATTTCTAGATTCTTCCAGCTCAGCCGCATGGTGCTCGAGGAATGTCATGGTTACCCGGGAGGTCTCTATATCTTCCTACACCGAACAAAAAGAGAAAATCTTGAATGTGTAATATTAACTAATCATTTGTACTATTATGTAGCTGTTTCAGGGCAGTTGAATTGGCAGCAGCTTAACCGAAACTCCATATCGTCACTTTTGTATCTATTGATCTCTAAGCTGATCTCATTGGACAAGATACTTAAAATAAGAACGCTAGAGTTTCTGTTATTTAGTCTGACTAACCTTTAGTGCCCCAAGTTCTTTCAGAGCATCTTCATAATCTCTGGTGGTTGTCTCCAAATCTATGCTGGTTTTAGACAACTATAGACAAAAAGAATCAATACAAAATAAATAAATAAAATGATTGAACAAAATTCAATTCCAACTTTATCATCAGCCCTTTTATTTTAGTTTGGAGCTCCATAAGTTTTTGTGTCTGAAAATGACAATAATCATCCTGCAATCCCAATATCTGCTGCAAGCCGATTAATTACCAGTTTAATGATTAATCCATTCTTATAAATTAGATCTCACTATTTAGCCCAGTCACACAGCTGTGCTATTTGTCCATCCCTGCTCTAGAATGTTAAATCCACAATTATAACAAGACTATAAGCCTTCATTTTTTTATTCAACAAAATAAAAGTTGCCTTCGAACCTACTTTCATTTTGTTTATTTCATGCTATAATTAAAATTAGAACCATATAAAAGAGAAATAGAACCACCTTAAAGAGAAATAGAATCCTCCACAATCATTCACTGAGGGTAAGATAAGTTTTAAACCTTCATTTAGTATCTAAATACAGCATTTCATTTTTACCATCGCAATTATGGCCACATACTATCTCATTGACCTGACAGCTCTCAAGCTAATAAAACACTCTCAAACACCCTACATTGTCAGAGCGTTACATTCAATCATTAAATTTAAAAATTAACAAGCATAGAGCACATATTTCCCTCCATATCGACAAACTCACTTTTGCCTCAAGGCTTTGGATTTCCTGGGTAAAGGCGAGGTGAAGAGCCTTGTGATTCTCTTTTTCCTCCTTCAGTTGCTTGTCAGCTGACTTAAGAACCAAGTGCAGGTCTGTGTTCTCATCATTCAACACTAACCATTAAATAAAATAAGGACATACTGATAATCATTATCTTTATTCTTTAAAAGTAATTTACTTAAATGTAAAGAAATATCAAATTATGGATTACAAAATTTATGATAAAAAAATTCAAGTAAATGTATACCATCAAAACTGCTGCAAATAATCTTGCTTCCGTGACAGATTAATACGATAAATGTTTTGAGCACACCTTGAAGACTTACATTTTAGATCATTTTTTACAGTATCGATTTCTTCCTTTAATGTGTTGACCGCACTGGTGTAATCATTTCTTCTGGCTGTGTTCTCTGCTCTTTCTTTCTCTAACACCTAAATGCAATTTGTTTAAAATGTTTCATGTAAAAGGAGTTCATTTATTTTAATTTCCCATATAAGTATTGGATTAGTGATCTCAGTGATTCAAGATGTGTAATTTTAAAAAAAAAAGCTTTTTGTTTTCTTCAGTGCTGCAGATGGATTAAATATCTAAATAATTCAACTCAAAATGAAATGTGTAATTAGGCTATTGCAGAAGCTAACTGGCCTGATGAAGTTACCAGATCAAAAGATGCTGTTTTGTAATTAACTTACTGAGTTGAGCTGAGTGTTGTAAAGTTCCAGTTTTTCCACTTGTTGCCGTTGCCTCAACATGTCAGCTTCATATTCGTCAATTCTTTCCTTTAAAAAAAGAAACCCGTACTAATAAAATATGTGTCAGTTACCAAATAATTTTTAAATAGACCATCAAATAAACACATAACTGATGGATGCATCAGTCATCTCATATTTAACAGTCACCTCATATTTATAATATACACCATCACATAAACACTAAACTGACCAAGATTTCAGTGAAATTTATCAAAGTTTTAATGTAAATACCAATGTTTTAATCAAAGGGACCAAGGTTTTAATTTAATAAATAATAAAAATCCAGAGTTATAGTGACAATAATAATTCGAGGGTCAGGCATTTCAAACCCTTGAAAATAAAAACAAAAAGTTAAATTCAAATAAGCATCTGTTCCAAGTAATTGAAAAATCATTCGGTTTCCTTTATTCCAAGTTATCTACCTTTAGTTTCCCATTCTCCATCTGAAGCATGTGTATTTCCTCCATTAAGGCATCATGTGCTCCCTCAGCCAAGTCCTTGGGCAGAATGCAGTCTGTTATACCAAGCTCTGCCTCTTGCGGCTCACCCACTGCCTGCTCTTGTGTATTGGGAGAACTGGCTGACATTTTTGGGGTTGTCATTACCTGGTGAGAGGAAATAGCGGCCTAAGGAACACCAAATATATGCATTCGTTTCTTTCATGTTTTATTTTCCAAACAATCTCACATTTTCAATGTGGAAATCAAATGTGAGATTGTTTTTTTTTTTTTTTGATACCTAATGGAATGATGTTCAAATCCTTTGCTTTTTAAAAAAAAAAAAATAAAATTGTTTTTTTTTTTTGTTGATACCTAATGGAATGATGTTCAAATCCTTTGCTTTTTAAAAAAAAAAAAATCAAGGTATGTGGATCTTGTTATAATTTATTTCTTTTTAAAGAAATAAATATTGAAATGGTCACATAGTTTTAGACCAGAGTACATAGATATACCATGTATTTAAACAAACAGCCCCATCAAATAGATGACTGGTCAATCTGTTTTAAGAGATTCTGAATATTCTACGACTAGATTTAATTTAGTCAGAAGAAATTTAATTTTGGTTTAAAAAAAAATAAAAATACATTTCTTTGAAACCTCACAATTATTTTTAGATAGTGAAAAATAATAAATCATTCAAATTTGTCTTTGCAAAGGACAATATTAAAATTATATGCTAGTGAAGGAAGAATGAGTTTATTCTTCTTCAAAAATAGAAAATGCTAACGATAAAAATGCATGCTCTCAATCAAAACCTTCAGTGTCTGGCAGTGGAGGTCTTTTAAAGCATTGCATTCAATCCTGGCCTTGAGCTGGTGAGCTTCCAGGACTCTTTCTAGCTCCACAATCATGCGACGACAAGAAACGAGCTCAACATCCATCTCCATCTGTCGGTTCTCAGCTGCTTTGGTGACATCAACTAGCTGTTGCCGCAACTGAAAACCAATGTCATAGAAGTGTTAACGTGGACAAAACCATGGGTAGTGTTAGAAATAACCTCTGCATTGATCAGACAAAATAGATATACCCGCCAGATTTTTCTTCAGAGTCAATCAATTTTACAACTCTGTGAAAAGTAGTAGTTTACTCCAACACAGGGGTCAGCAACCCTTTAAGGGGTGAGAGGCCATTTTTAAATATTATAAGTGCTGAGATAATAATTATGGGATTTGCAGGCAGGGGCCCGATTCTTCTGCATTAGAGATTAGTTTAAAAAAAAAAGATGCATATATTCCTTCAAAGAGCTGCATGCTGCTCAAGAGGAGCAGATTATTTACCACTGCCACAACATCAAGTACGTTAACTTACTATTTCAATTTGTTCCTGCAAGCCCTTTACTTCTCGTCTGTGTTTATCAAGTGTAGCGGCTGACAGCCCATCCTTCAAAGGAGAAGATCGCAGACCTCCACAAGGGCTGCCGGTGCTCAATTCTGATCAATGTTAGACATTTATTTTCTTTAAAATAACAACTGCCCCTGATAAGTTAAAGACATTTTGCACTTTAAAAGCAACCAACAAAACTGGACTACATATAAGCAAATATTTTCATAAATTTCAGCCATATTTCTAATAGTATAATTATATAAAGGGCGACACTTAAAAGATTGAGTTATTCATTAAATTTCAATAAACAAAAACATGAGGTAGTACAACGTATGAGGGAATTTCATAAAATATTCAGGGTCAAGTTCCTAGAAATGCATAGAATAAAATAAATATTAAGGGATGCCAGTGTTTCTGAAGTTATTTAGGTTGTGATAGCCAAAGTCAAATGATGGAGAATATCAGATGACAGCTACATTTACAACATAACTCACCCTTGTATAACTTCAGCTCCTTGAAGACCCTCTCTAGTTGGGCACTCCGGGACACATCATTATGGATATTGCTAAGAGACTCGCGGGCTCTCAGCTGCTTCAGCTCACTGCGTAAGTGCTTGTTTTCACCAGCATACTTGGCGAGCATTGGGTTGTTTTCAAGTTGTTGACGCAGTACTTTAATCTCGTCACGCAAAGATTTCTGGGATATAAATAAATTTTAAAATTAATTTAACACACAAAAAAATTATACTTTTCACCTGCATGCAATTCTATATTGTGCAATGATACACATATTAACAATGTATGTAACCAAGCAAACCAAGCCTTGGGGTTCTTAAGGCGAAATCTAAAGATTGGCAACTCCTGTGTGAAAGAAAGAGCATATAAAGCCTTTATCCGTCCGATTTTAGATTATGCATCTTCAGTCTGGGACCCATTTACCCAGAAGAGCATTGACAGGTTGGAGGCGGTCCAGCGACGAGCAGCACGCTTTGTCCTAAACCGCTACAGGAATACCTCTAGTGTTGGCAGCATGCTAGAAACACTAGGCTGGTCACCATTGGAGAAACGACGACGACAATCCAGGCTCTCCATGATGTACAAGATAAATAATGGGCTGGTCCACTGTTCCAGTATTAAACAGAAACTCGTCCCTCTCCCCCATAGACAGCGACGAGGCCATGACAGGCAATTCAGGCTCATACCAGCAAGAAGCCAGTATAGGACCTGCTCATTCCTGCCCAAGACAATCAGGGACTGGAACCATCTTTCAAAAGGAACAGTTGAGGCGACAACACTAGACACATTTGTGTCTATTGCCTCAAGCCTTCAAACCCCTAGTGCATAATTTCCTCATCTCCACCAGTAACAGAAACATTGCAACTCCTATCTACATGCATAGGAGCCAAAATGATCAATAAATTGATCGTGGGCCCTTAAGATATAGAAGAAGAAGAAAAGAAAACATTTTGAATATGGATAAAAATGAGCAAGCAATTTATGTCGCATTAGCATTTTTACATGAGACTTGTTACATAATTCCATTAAACCAGAATTACTGGGTCATTGTTTCTTAGGTTCTTCTAGGAATTCACAGATAATTACTCCAAACAATAAAACTTGAGGGAAACATCATGCTATCTCATTTCAAGACCAAAGGGTCACAGTCATAGTAGTAATTGCTGTTTTAAAATGCAATTAAATAATATCCTAAAAAATGACTCACAACTAATGTGTCCTTTTCCATCTCTAGGTACCCCTTAGAAGCCATCTGCAACGACTGTATATGATTTTCCCTGAATTTTATGATCATTTTGGTGGACTGAATGTATTTATCTTTTTTGTTGCATAACTCCTGGAGATGATTGACCACATCCTGCAGTGTCTGGAAAAAATAATTGAAATGTGTCAGAATAATACACACATATCTTATCTAAATATACAGAAGCATGTATCAGATCAGAACAATGCACAAACATATGGTAACTTATCTGGTTATACAAAAGGATGCATCAGAATAACGTGCTCAAATCTTATTAATTATACAGATAAATGGAGAAATGATTTAGCACTAGAAAACTTCCTGCAGATTTAAGCTACACTGTGAGGTTCACTTAAAGCAACCTTTTTCTCATTTTCAGATTGTTCTCTGAAATACATGGCTTCAATAAAGTTCCTCTTCCAAACAGAATCTGCGCTCATCGGCGGATTATCTGAAAGAAAAAAATGTGATTATAATACTTATGATATCAATCATGTCCACCTAAAAGTCAGCTGATCAACACAACTTTGTTTACATCACAATTAAGCACCAAATAAATATATAAAAAATTAAACAGCCTCTAAAAACAATGTTTTCCGTATAGATCCTTTATAAAATGTAATATTGAGCAATGGGGGTGGGGCTAAATATTTGACAAAATATTCATACAAGTAATGCACTTTATAAGAATCCCAATTAGTGCCCCCCCCCCCTTTTTTTTCACGCCCCTGAACTATATTAATATTCTATGGACCGGCCCGCTTTTACATCAAGATTTATTTATTTATTTCACCATTTCAGAAAAGCAAAATAAAATATTACGCACCAAAAGCACTTGCGATATTTTTTAAAAGAATATCATTTAGCGCAGTTATCGTGAATTTTCCTTCATGTTCCCTAGAAGAACATGGAAAAACTGATTTTTGAGGGGTGGGGCAGGGGTGCCACTCACCGTAAGCTATGAACCCTGAAATGCCTTTTTAAAAATTTCTTGAACCCTGAAACTTCATTTCCACATTTTTCAAACCCTGAATCTTAACGAAACGCATAAAATTCATACACTTTTATCATGCAATGATTACATCATATATGCATATATGTATCCACATTAATTTTCCCAAACAATATATTTTAACGGCACTTATTACAAACGCATAAATAAAATCCTATCAAACTATTTAAGAAATGCAGTGTGGCATACAATAAATATTTATCAGTGTTGACATAAGAAATAAATTCAAAATAGGCATCAATTTTACAACAAATATTTAACAAATAATATGTAAAAGTGTGTAACAAATCAATTTATATAACATCAAAATAGGCATCAATTATTTACAACAAATATTTAACAAGTGATATGTAAAAGTGTGTAACAAATCAAGTTATATTTTTTTGAAGAACTTTGTAATGGCTGCAGTATTTGTGGTGTCTGTATGTTTTCTTTTTCTTGACAAATTTCTGTTACATATGTCTTGAGCAGCTGAAGAAAAGGCTGTCGATGGTAAGGATGTTGAAGCAGGTGACATAGTTGATACAGAAGAGGTACCTAATGATGGCACAGATGAAGCTGAGGATGGTAGTGTTGGTTGTATAACTTCAGTTGATGATGAAACTGACTTTGCCATACTGTCTTTTGCAGGTAGCTCCATATACTCTTGATGGCGCTGCCTGGCAGAAAAAACATACTTTCTCATGGACTGAGATACAGTCATCGTGATGGCACTTTCTCCCCGGGCCTTGAGATGGCTTTTTACAATGGCCAAACTCTCATAGTTTTTGTGGGTCATCCGCGCCCGATCATCTTCGATGATATCGTCCATGATATTAAAGGTGTTTTCCACCAAAGGACCACTAAAAATTGAGAGTAGAGCTTTAACTAGTGAACCTAATAATGGATACTTTGTTTCACCATTTAGCTTTAGAGCTATTAACTTGCTCCACAAGTCTTTGTCCAGGTTGAAATCGGGTGCAGTCTCATCAGCATGTAACTGTGACATTGACGCATCGACAGTATACATGCGGATTTCAGCATCCAGAATGCCACACGTCAGAACTGATGACATTTGGTAAGCTTTCACCTAATTTTCCCAAAGCACCAGCTGTTGTGGAAGACTTTTGCAAACCGGGGTCCAGAGATGATAGTTGTATTATAGTGCTATTTAAAAGTGGCAGTTTTTTCATCTTGTCACTTGCATTTACATAACCTTTTCTAACAGCAACATAGAAGTCATTAATCCAGTGATTTTTATGTTTGTCCCTAAGGCATTCTCTAATAAGAGGGAGACAAAAATCACCCAAACCAAGTTGCCTGTCCCTAACTTGAATTGATCTGTCGTTTGTATTTATCTGGGAAAGGTGTTTCATACCTTTGTTAGGGTCAGCAATAATGCTGGGTTCAATAAATCCAGAATAAATGGTTTTCAACTGCTCATACATGTCTGTATGCAGACGATGGCATTGTGGCTTTTCCGACTGATAACACTTTACATACTTTGCAAAATCTTGCGTTATTCCTCTATCCAATTGTAGTGTTACATGAGTCCTCTGTTTTTGATGGGAAAGGTGCAACAAAATACTTTCTTTTCGAACAGTTCCAGCTTTTGTTTTTGTTTGTTTTTTCATATTTGTTATGATGTTGTCAAGTTTGTCCCGCTGGTTGGTGTTTAATTTAAACTTTACATAGATTTCTTTAACATCAGTTTTATGTTTTGATTGTTCAATATTTGACAGGAAGCCAAAATAGAATATAAATAGAGCACCCCATAGCTGATGCAATCTGTCACAAACGTCTTTCATTTGCAAAAATCTATTTGAAATGAAATTGGCCTAAATATGGTCCACACCTTTGAATACAGTAATGTCTGTATTTCATGAAAAAAAGCTCTTGCCTTTGGAGAGTCCTCTATGTCATAAAAAATGTTGGAAGCAAATGTCTGAAAGTCTGAAAATTCCTCAATGGGCTCAAAAAATGCTTTTGCAGCATTGTTCATCATATGCACAGTGTCACCACTGACATTGAGGAGATTTAGATTGGCTCGTCGTATCAATGACTCAACTCCGTTCTTGACTCCACGCATCACATTACAATAGTCCATTAGACAGGAAATAACCTGACACCAGGAGAGACCTCTCGCAAAAAGAATACTCTCTGTTGCATTGAAAATATTTTCGGAAATAGAAAAATTAACTTCCCTCGAGCCAAGAAAGTCAACAACAACTTTTTCTTGAGTGTCACAAAAAAATTGAACAAGAACATTTAAAAACTTGTTCCCTGCATTGTTTGTTGCTTCATCAATGTTAAGCGAAAAAAATTTGAATCTCAGACTGTCACTCAGTTCTCTTTTCATTTCTTCAGCAATACCATGGGTAATTGTGTATGTAGCTGCTGTTCGTCCCATTGCTGTAGCATTTAGAGCCTCTGTCTCTTGGGCAAGTTTTTTACACAATTCAAGAATGTGTGGAGACATGCTATATGGTAAGCAGTGTTCCGCTAGGAAGGCACCAACAACAGTTTTGACATCTTGAACCCTATCATTTAAACACTGCCTTCTGCTAGAAATGTCTGATGTAGTGCCAGGTAAAATGTAGCTCTTTTGAAGGCTGGCTAAAGCACTGCAGTGTGCAGGATTATTCGCATGGTCTGTCAAAGCTTTTTTCCCAGAAGATCCATAGACTAAAGTTTGATTGCATACTATGCAAAAACATGCACCTGTAAAGATTGAGGTTGACTTTAAATTTCTTCTTTTATATTTTTTGGTAAATGGTGATTGTGGATGCCATAATTGGCCACCATCTTGGTTGAGAAACCAGTTAATTCTGTGAAATTCTGTCACTAAATCTAAGTAAATGTATCCCTAAAACTAACCTGAACCCTAAAAAGATGTGGTGGCATCCACAACTATCATTAACCTTTAGGTAATCTTTAATGGTAATGGTTATGTTAATAAAAACAATGTTCTTTGCAACACAAATTCACAATCGCGCGTAAACAATATTTGTTAGTGTTAGGTACAAAAAAAAAAGCAGATAAAGTAAATGAAATGAAAATCATAGAAGTTATGCAAATATCTACAATGAAAGTAGTAATTATTAGTATTCTTAAGTAGTAATAGCAGTAAGTAAATTAGGTCTACATACCAGGGTGGTTGATTTTTTTACACCAAACTTTAAACGAAGCACCACTGTCATTTTCATTTTCCAACCATTGCCATCGCCACTTGTTTTTAACAGTTTTCTCCAATTCGGCAATATTTTCTTTCTCATCCAAGAAACGCATTTTAATAAAGTAAAGTCTTTTTGTTTTCAATTATAAATATAACAGAAACGTGGCAACTTCTAGCTGTCTGTAGTAATTTATATTAAAAGGTAATCAATGGAAATAGGATTGTCCGCGTAAGTGTAAGTAACTTGACTCAGCAAAAAGCGATGCGATTGCAAACTAACACGAGACGCTCGCAAACCAGAAAGTGAGAGGCGATATGTCGCGATACACGGTACCTGTCCTATTTATAGCGAAAAACCGACCAACCCACTTCTCCCGGAATGGATGGACCTTCGCGCGCTTCTGCGTTGGCTTTGTCTTTAATTTTTAAATCCAGCGCCCGTGTTTGAAAAAATTGAACTTGCGAACCCGGAACGATAGCAAATAAAAAGTCGCGAATCCGGAAATGAAAAATATTTAGCCTCACGAATCCGGAATTCCGGGACAACCCGGAAAAGTAGCACCCCTGGGGTGGGGTTGAAAATTTGATAGAATGTGTTATCTGCAACGAGTCTATGTGTCAAGTTTCAGCTCAATAGCTTGACAGGAAGTGCATCAATTAGCCGTCCAAAGATTTTGTACCCAGCCAGCCACCCATGAAAAGAAGCGAAGTTACTATAAAGGATTTTTTAAAAATGGGTTAAGGACGAAGTGTTCAATAAAGTTTATTTTAAAACAAACCTGTAGGGGATGCCACACTGGTTCGAATTTCAGGACCTGGAGTATGCTGCATGGATTCTAAGAGTTCTTTAAGACGACGAATTTCATTCTGGAGTTTTTGATTGTTGCCATGAAAGTCTTCATTGACAACAGCCTTAAAAATATATTATTATTATTAGTGGTGGTCTTAAATAGCGCGGTACCCCAGCATAGAGCTGGGCTCACCTTGCTGTACATAAATATATTAGCAAACATGATCATGACATTAAAAAATAAATTACATTTATTTAATTCAAGAAACAGCTGTATAACAACAACAAAAAAAACCCAACAAATGTATATTCACACCACCCACCCCAGAAATTTTAAATGTCAAGCCATGGACAGCAGCCAGAAGCATCGTTTGTCGGCCATTGAGAGATAATAGAGTTTAAAGAGATGTGTTGTAAGTGCTGTTTTAAAGGCATGTACAGTCGGTATATTGCAGATGAATACAGACTGTACATGCCTTTAAAACAGCACTCAAAACACATCTCTCGGTATATTGCGGATGTGTTATGGGAGAGAATTCCATTGTTCATTATCTTTGGACTATCTTTGTCATAGATTACAACACAATAGTTTGTTTTTTAAATAAATGGAGCTTTTAATATGACTTGAACTATTTGTGGCGGCAAAACTTATTGTATGTTTTGTTTGAACAAAATTATTAAAATCTACCAAAGCATTTAAAAAAAAGAATTGAAACTGCATGCCAGCGCCCAATTGTAAACATGCCATGCTATATGCAATTATAACAGGATGTACTCACTTTATTTTTGATTAGTTTTGCACTTCTTGCAAAATTGAGAGTTGAAAGTGTTTCTCCAAAACACCTAAAAAATAAGAATTTAAATTAGAGTTATTTTACAGTGTATAATGATGCAAATACAATCACAGTCCTAAGAAAACTCAGTTTTTTAAGCTTAAAGAATTGCAAAGGCTAAGAATGCAAATAAATAATATCTATAAATTTTTACCTGGAATCAGGGTGTACACAAGCAATCATTCTTGTTTTTGTGTTACCGCCAAGGGAATCCTGATTTTAAGTAAAACATTTCAATTTTTACTTAATTAATTCTTAGCATAATCAACGTCTAATCCACCTAAAAATAAAACAAAGTTCCTGTATGGAACTGGCCCTTACTTTATCAGTGGTGTCAAACATTTTTAGACACTTCTTTTTGTTGATAATGTTAAATTACAAAACCTTGGAGATATCACACAAATTCTTTCAAGGAAATTTTTAAAGAAAACTGAAACTAGCTGAAATAAAATAAAAAAATAGTTAACAAATCTTTTGTCCTGTCTATGAATTCAAGTTTAGCATACCCTGTTCTTATATTTCATTAACAAACAAAACTGACCCGCAACAGGAAGGTTAATTTTGAATCTCGGTAAGGGATGTGCCTTTTTTTACCATGGCTCAGATCCACAAGAGACATGATGACATTACCCAGCACGGAGAGAGACTTGTTTATGCTGCCTGCTTCCTGGATTGAGAGGACCAAAAATTTTTTTTAGTGCTTAGAGCTGCCTGAATAATAAAAAAAAACCTTGTCTAAACATGTCTTGCTATAACAAAGTGCACTTTCGCTACATGAAAACTCTCTTCCACAAGCACACTATGATATTTACTTTAAGTCTTGTCCCCCCTGTATTGGTGTCTTTCTGACGCTCTGATCCTGCCAGGTCAACAAGGTTCAGCTGTGATGTTCGTATATTTTGTACTCCTCCAGCATCCTCCTGTAAGAAGATATTTAGGTGTTAAGTAGGTGCAATGAATTATTACAGCATATTAACATTAAGATAAGATACTTTTATTGATTCAAACAAATGGAAATGTTTTTTTTTTTTTAAATGCATTGCAATCTTAAAGAAAACATTGAAAAAGTTTTGAACATAATGCGTGTTGGTAAATCCAAACAAAGATGTTTGCCATCATTAGGTTAATTTAAAAAATAATCTCTATAACTTGGCTGCCCAATCTAAATTTATAAAAATGTATCATTCAGTGTCACCTTTATACGTACACTTTGATAACAAGCAGAGAATATGTAATAAAGGCATTTATTTTATCAAAAGTCTTAAAATTCAAGCAAGTCTTCCCATTTAAGCTTTGAATATAAATCATCAAAAATTTTTTAAGAAACCAGGTTTAAAAAAAAATCAAATGAAAGAAACTATATTAAATAATATAATAAAAGTACAATAATAAAAAAAATAGCTAATAACTCTAATAATAGAAAGTAATAATAGAGCTATAATTATGAAACATCAAAACTCAGGGAAAGAGAAGTAATTAAGCTTACATTATTTACCACTGATATGCATTAGGATTACATAATTTTTATTGTGTGCATGCCTGAAAAATTTACATTTGGAATAACTAGAAGCTTATATAAACTATCTGCCCTTTAGCTAACTAAACAACTGACTGGATCATGTTTATCTTTCTTTGCTGAAAACTCTCTATTTCCCAATAAATTTCTTTAAATCTGTACTAAAATAAAAAGGTGAGTCTGTGATCATCATTTCATACAATAAATTAACAATTATATATGTAATACCTTGGACTCTATCATGACTGTAAAAACAGCATGTGACCTTGAACTCTCTCTGTTCATGGAAGTAGCTGCTACTCTACGGTTTAACCAGCCCATGATAAGGACCTACAGTAAGGAATGGATTTAGAAAAGTTGCATTTAGATTCTTTTGGTAAGTTTTTTTGTTGTACTGAGAGATTTGATATGAACAGAATCAAGTCCCAGCACCTATTCATAATCTAATGTTAGAATATTGCATCATTCATTACAGACATAGGTGGTTTTAAAGACGTTATTTTTATTTTCTGAAACAAAATCTAAGAGGATCTACCGACAGCTTCATATTCTATTTCCCTTTTTAATTAAATATCAAAGTACCTACTTTAAAAAAATAAAATAAGAATATCCCTTTGTAATAAAATACAGACAGACACAGTGGTTAACAATGATTTATATCTAATAGTTAACCATACAAACATAAATTAATCCCATTTTCAAAATTAACACTAAGAGCAGAGCAGTTACCTGATATGCATCACTAGGGTTACAAATTACTTGCTCTATAAGACCATCCACAAAAACACCTTTGTTCATATTTTCACGAAGATGAAGACCCTGTGACGCAGGATCCAAAAGGTCAAAGATTTGTTCTTGGTAAATCTCCAGAAAGGAGCAGCGGCACAGGAACTGTTTCTTACTACCATGCTGCAGAATTGTAAAAAATAGATTCTGTTTCTCATTCTAAATAAGCATTCACTTAGAAGTCATATGGAAAAAAATTAATTCTAATTCAGAGAAATTTAAAACATGTCCGTGACAGAAAAATTCTTCCTATCTCAAATAATTTTTTTTTAAATGTAGGCTACATTTTTGTCTTTGGAATTAATTGTGATTTTCAACAAAAAACAATAATTTTTTATTCTGTATTTACTCAATTGGCCGTTAGTAGGAATGCAGCTTTTAGCTTAGACAGGAGATTATTGATGTCTTCTAACTTTAACGACAATTTTGATCTATTTTCGTTTAATTGACACAGCTGTAACACATTTTAAATTGAAATATATCCAAATGTAAACAAAAAATATTTCTTTAACATAACTTTTAACAATTTTCATTCTAAAATATAAACATTACTATGAGTCACATACATTGCTTGTTGCTGGATAGCAAAAAAAAAAAAAAAAAAAAAAAAAAAAAAAAAAAAAAAAAAAAAATAAAAAAAAAAAAAAAAAAAAAAAAAAAAAAAAAAATAAAAAAAAAAAAAAAAAATTATTGTTAGAAAAAAAAAAAAAAAAAAAAAAAAAAAAAAAAAAAAAAAAACAATATAAAAATTATTGGAATGTTAATGTCAAGTGAAAATAGACAGAATTTAAGTACAAAATTAACCAACTTGATCTTGAAAATGATATTCATATCATAAATAGAATGTACATACCAGTTCTTGTTGATGGGCAATGAGGCTGAAGAGGTATTCAAAGCTTCTGGGAATCACACCACGGAGCTCATGTTGAAAACTTTCAGAATTTTCAGAAGGACCTGTAAAACAATAATTCCAAAATTAAAAGAAAATTACTTTCAAGGTTAAGTATGAAAAACAAAATGACGATAAAACTATAACTTAACAGGGTTACTGGTATTTAATTTCTCACCAAGCATTGTAAATGTCTTTCCTGAGCCTGTCTGGCCACTGGAAAAAAAAGGAAGAAAACAGTAATATTTAACAGAGTTAAACCACTTTCCCTTTGCTACATGATGAAATTTTAAACATTTGCTTTTTTCCAGAGACACCAGCATAACTTTTGAATAATTCAACAAAGTTATAAATTCTAAGATATAAATTAATATTGGTAATTACTAAGCAAAGATTGTTCCATTAAATTGATTTTGGTACTTACTAAGCAAAGATTGTTCCATTATAACCAGTGACACAGCTTTCAATTATTTTTTTGCCTACAATTGAAAAAACAGCTTCCTGTGAAAACAAAAAAAGTTGCCAGATACTATTTACATTCACATTATAAATTATCTGCATCTAATTAATTGTACTTTCAATAATGGCAGACAGATCATGAGTTTTAATCCATGAAATTTCTTGGTATAAAATGAGATGTTTTGAGGGATTTTTATGACTTAATTATAAATAAAATGTTGTTTCCATATTCTTCTCTTGTATATGTATAGTAATTTCATACTGTAATCACTTAAATAACATGGAAGTATAATACAAGATCATTGTCAAACTTAACACTTTTAAATGCCTTATTTTAATTGATGATTTATAAGTTATTAAACCCAATCTATAAATTTTCCTCAAACCTGAGTAATATCAGCATCTGCAACATTGTCATATGTAAAGATTTTAGGCTCAGGCTTGGTTCTAAGTATGACCGCATTGTCAGCTGTGTTAACATCTAAAACTCGTGGTGCAAAGTCATTTTCACTAATACTTGGATCAGGGGGCCGAACTCTGAGAAAAATTTTAATGGAGTCTCCTTCGGAGGATGTGCTGGAAATAAATTATCGTAAATGATCTAAACATCATTTGTAACAGTCACTTGTATTCTTCTCAAAGTTAAAAAAAGATTTTAAAAAACATTCAAGTTTCAATGCATCATTAACAATTAATGCTATAATTTTTAAAAAGTCAATTTACCTTCTGTCTTTTACAAAACTTAGCGATTCTTATTTAAGATCCAACTAATCAAATCCCACCCAGTGAAAATGTAACTAATTCGATACAATTTGGAATGAGGCCAATCATAAAATTGACCTCACACATCTATGAGGGGAGTCAGGGGTCTATGAGATGAGTTAGAGGGCACACATTTCTTAACAATGCATTATGCATTTAAGGGTATCTACATTTTGTGAAAATTTGACAATGGGGAGGGGAACTTACAAGGTGACATCATTTACAAATGGCCACCATAAACTGTTGTGTACACAGCATGCATAAAAAGTGTAATATATTGTTCTTTTAATTTTTTCCTCTGCCATCTTACAGTAGTAATTAATATTATGAGAGGGGCAAGAGAATCAGGCATGGCCTAATTAGGAAAAGAAAGGAAGTTTGAATGCTTTCCCAGTGCATAAAGCTTGTTAGGGTCAATATATCTCAAAAAGTTGTTCAAATATAAAAGTTAGTCAGCAGAGAGAAAAGTAAAGGGATGGGATAGAGAGAGAGAGATAGAGAGAGGGAGGGAGGGGATTTTCCCAGTGTTTCAGTTGTATTAGTTCATAAAGCAACTGTGAATAATGTTTCTGTCTTCTCAATAATTATTAAAAAAATTACCTTGTTGAGGAAACTGTATCCATTTCAGATTCTTTTAGGATGGATTATTAAGCTAATTGGATTCTAAATTTTTTTTGGGTAAAATCTGAAAAAGAAACAAATAAAATTTTATATAAATATAACTTAAATTCACCTAATGAATAACTTAAACGAGTACTGACAAAAGGATTGTGAAATACAAATAGACATGTAAAATGAATCCATTTTAAAAATCTATTAAATGAAAGTGATAGAACAGGTGTGGTCATCCCAAGGGCTGCATGTGGCCCAGCACGTTAAATGTTGCGGCCACCTCGGTATTTAAATAATGAACTTGTTTCTTTATTCTATTTCCATTTTTTCTCTGTCAGTACAAGGCAGTGCAGCATACTGGCCCCCATTTTAGTCCTTTTTAATATTCATTTCAAACAAGTAATCTTTAAATCTTAAATAAAAATGATAAAACATCATTTTTTAGTAACTACTACTTGTAAAACACTACCACTCAAGGGGCACCTATACTTCAACAAACATTTCTTCTGTAGCTCTTCGACAAATTGTGTAGAATGATGCAAAAGTAAATTCAGGTATGCGCCAAACTGCATCCCTGAATTTTAAATTTATATGTGGCGTTATATGCCCCGCTTTTACAAAGCAGAGCGTTCACCACCCAAAACTATCATGGAAATTCATGTAGGGGTTAGGCTTCCACAACATGGCATGAATGGCTTCTCTCCCACCGCTTAGATATAGGAAACCACTGATTCCGCTTTTTGTATAAGCTAAATAAGTTCAGTAAGTTATCTCTTTGGAACTCTTGGGTATTATGCTAAAAAATTATATCTTGTAGAAAATGGGATTTTATTCTCTATACCTTAGCCTCAGTACATTTACATGTGTTTAAGTTTAGAGGATATTGTACTTATTAAGTATTGTACTTATTAAGTAATTAAGGGAGTTTTCACATCCATAATTCCATTGCACAAAAAGGGGGGGGGGGGTGGGGCTGGTTTCCCAACCACTTCTGTTTAAAAATATCTCAGAGACAAGACCATATTAATACCATGTAGTTGTAACCAGTGAAATACCAGGCATAAAAATATTGCAAATCCCCACTACATATGTAGGAGCCAGAATGATCAATAGGCCTACATTGATCCCTGGCCTATATATAATACTTAATATAGAAGAAGAAGAAAGTTGAGTTAGAATGAGTTCAAAAACCATAAAGAGTAATGGGGACATAAAGCCATTCTCTGGACAGAAAGCCCAAACCTTCGTGTGGTTGCTTGGGCCTGAGGAAAGATGGGGGCTGCTCCAGACATGACTAAAACCTTAAACTTAAAATCATTAACAGGTTCAGGTTAGGACGGTCCATCAACTTGTCTAGACATTCTAGACAGTTTCTCTCAACAATATCACTATCACAATTAGCTTTTCAGTAACTAGTTCTTAAATACGGAAGTGATATGATATGCGATATGCCTATTAAAGCACAAGCATACCCGGTATCTTTCCGTCGTGTCAGACCCGTGCAGTGGCGTCGAGTATAGTATGTCACTTTCTTAGTTATTACCGCCTTAGTTTACTTAGTTAGAACTTAAGCCTTGTGCCTTAGTAAATTAGTAGTAGACTTTACCGGCAAGTTAGGCTACTGGCTATGGACTACAGAGACGAGTTTACAAGCGCAGCTAATCGGTACAGGCTTTACGAAATGCACAATTAATACCAATTATAGTTTGTAAGAACCCATCATAAGAAGTTAGAACTTTAAAATTTGTATCCTTTTCTTACATGATGTTTATGTAGCGATCCAAGCGATTTGTTGACAAATAGCCTTTGAATTCACCGCTTTCCGTCTCGTAAAATCTCGGATTCAAAATCACGTAACCTAACTAAAATAGAAAACTAGCAACTAGCAACAAGACAAAAGCATATCTTCTGTTGATTGCATTGGTCTTAAAACATAAAACTAATTGACATCGAAAGGTTTGGTGTGCTCAGAAACTACATTTGATTACATTGTACATGAATGATTATTGATTACATTTTTACTATGCATGCTACGAGAATTAAATACTGACGTCATTCGTTGCTATTTATATGGATGGTGTTCAATTTTAGTAACCAGCTGCCTGTTGCTAGAGTTGTTGCGAACTATCTACATTTAAAAAAATAAATAATAAAGCAATAAAAATCAATTCTATTAAAATAGTTCATCTCACAGAATATGATTGGCTTTTTTAAAATGTATTATTATTATTATTTTATTATTTTGGAAGTTATACATACTGCGGTTGAATTTAATTTGTAGGCTACACCAAGTAGGCCTATTTTTAAGTGCCTCGTCGTGTCGTACCCCATGACTATTCTACTGCCCATTGATGATTAAGTCAATGAAGAGTGCACTATTATAATATATTATGAAGAGTGCGCTATTTATTAGTAGATAATACCATTCTTAATCTCGGACCAATGGTATTTTTGAAATAAAATTTGTAACGTTAAATATGTAGCACATTACACCTCTTGGTCTTTATCACAGTGGTGTAGCTTGGGACGGGACAAGATTTAGGCCGCCACTTAATAGAGAAAAAAAAACCTGCAACTAATGTAAATGCCACCCCTCTCTATAAAGAAAAAGGTGCCGCTCGGGGCGCACGAACCCCAAAACCAACCCACTTCTCACGCCACCACTTAAACAAATCCTCACTCCTTATTTGTTATAATGGGGCCATTCATAAAAGGCGTAACGCGTTTTTTTTTAAAGTTTGTGGGTGGAGGGGAGGCGGGGTCTGCACGAATTTTCAATGTGTTAAATGTGTGATAAAATATCTCACTTGAGGCTTTTTTTTGGGGGGGGGGGAGGGATAAAAGTCTCACGTGGTCAGTATCAGTAAGCCTTTATATTCATTTATCAACACCACACTTTAGCTTAAGTAACTGCCGTGACCCATCCACCCTTTATTTAGCGGATTATAAGATTACACCATTGGCCAGCTTGCTACATCGTGTTGCACAAAGAAACTGACCCGATTATTCCCTGGGGGGCAGTCCTTACTGCTTGCTTGGTCACTCGTGTCACTGCTGCCTTCGACCACCGCCAGCTGTTACCAGAATGAAGCAATGCCCACGTGATGAAGACTTCTACCTTTATAAAGTTACCTTTAAGACTCGTATCAAGGCATGGGATTTATGTGTTAGCTAGAGCAAGTTCAAAATGAGAGAACTACTTCTTCAGTGTGCCAAAGTGCTGTGGGATTTCGCAAGACTGAATGAAACCATCGTAAAGGTAATGAATCCTTCCTTGAGATCGTCATTTGTTATCTTCCAATTTAAATTCGATTATTGTGGAATTATCAATCTGTTACCTAACTTAGCACAGATCAATCTAAATTTAACACATTAAATTGATCTACTTAGCCGTGTCGACTAAATCTTATAGCCTTTTTTTTTTTACAGCCTTGCAGAAATTTTAACAAGTGGGCCTAGGTGTAAAAGTAAAAGCATTTAATTTTTTAAATATAAAGTTTAGTTAACTCGCTCAATTTTTTAAAAGAAACTCTCTACGTTATATGGGATATGGTAGTTGAATGTTACTAAGGAAGGGATCGATAAGGCTCATTGAAAACATAATAGATAGGCTATCTGATAGCCGCCTATAGGCCTAATAGTAATTAAGACAAGTTCACCGTTTTAGCCACATAGTAAATTTGTTTTAACAAATATAAGTTTCAACATTATACCAAGCTGGGGCGTAGCTATTAGATTTTTCGCCCGGGGCGAAGTATAAAATTGGCGTCCCCCCCCCCCCTTTTCCCGTTTAATTACATTTCTGATAATTTCTCTATTACATTCAATTAGGAAAACAATTTAAATTTGAATAAAACATCATGTTGGCGCCTATGTAACTTGGCGCCCGGGGATATATATGTACCCCCTGCCCCCACCCCTCGCTACGCCTCTGATACCAAGTCAAATTAGATAAAAAGCTTTTTATTAAATTAAATGTTGGTTCCTTTGCCAGATAGTGAAACAGCTTGTGGCGCCCCTCTTCGACTCTTTGTTTCTAATTCCACAGTTTGCATATATTAGCCTATAGAGGTTGTGTAGCACTTCTGATTGAGAGTAGTCTCCAGCTACTGTGCTCACATGGCTGAGCTGAATGCCGGAAATAATTGAGACTGTTACATAATAATTTCCTTCTAATACTTATTTAACTAAAAGGAACGTGTCTAGATTTCAATCCGAACTTTTCAAGTTAAAGTCGTTAGAAGTTTGATGAGAAACAAGGTAGGCTACTGCAGTAATGCAATTTTTGTAATCGCGTCGAGAGTTGTAGAACTTGTCCTCCATAATGCCTTGACCAACACGTCGTCTCAGAAAGGAATCATCTTCTTCTTTTAAGAATAAAAAAAAACACACTATAACCAAACACATTTTGTTAACAAGAAAAACAATTATTGAAAATAAAAATAAAATAAAGCTAGTAAATATTGAAAAAAATAAATCAAAATGACAGCGTATGTCTAAGTTACGGTGACCAGATGTCCCGGTTTACCCATATTTTCGTGATGTCCGTCATGGCAGTCATGGCGTGCCCGGCAATGTCCCGACCCGTGCGTACTATCCCTAAGACCGGGACAAATGCTCCCACTTTAAGAGTATTTTCTCTGATGAACACGGGAACACCCAATAAAATGGCAACTCAAAGTTGATGCATTGAAACATGCCGGTGAGGTGGTCACATGCCATTTCTGTCATTCATGTAACAAGTTTGATGTGATTAGAACATCATGATGCATTGAAACATGCCGGTGAGGTGGTCACATGCCATTTCTGTCATTCATGTAACAAGTTTGATGTGATTAGAACATCATGATGCATTGAAACATGCCGGTGAGGTGGTCACATGCAATTTCTGTCATTCATGTAACAAGTTTGATGTGATTAGAACATCATGATGCATTGAAACATGCCGGTGGTCATTCATGTAACAAGTTTGATGTGATTAGAACATCATGATGTCTTGAGAGCTATCCACTTACCTCACACATAGACCTACTAGCGACACTAGCGTGTCATGATTGGGAAATAAATAATTCCAACCCGCCTGTTAATCCTTCATAGGTCTGACATACGTCCCTTGTGTCAAGTTCTTTCCATTTTTTTTAACATCACGTGATTTGTCACTGTTAGTAGTTACTCGCTCACTGAAAAGCTGTTTTTTTCCTTTATGAAAATTGAAAAATGACATGTTTACTCTCACACTCGGAAAGTATGAATAAGTTCCTCACAAAAAACTTCTGGTACTTTTCCACTTCATTGTTCACAGATATTATACCTGCGGTTCCTGATCGACACAACGTAAGCTTTAGGTACGTCCATAACATACAGAGGAGTGGTCCCGCCCCCCCCCCCACCCCGGGCCAATCTGGTCACCGTATCTAAGTTAAGATCACCTTTTACCCACGTGTTAGTTTATTTCTTCAATTCTGTTTTTTTTTGCTTTTTAAATTTAACATACGTGTTTCAATCACAGAGTGACGTCATGATAGTCCTGGGCAATGATGACCCACGATCAGCGGAACATGCGGCGGATATGTTCCTAGAAGGCTGGGCGCCCCTAGTCGTTATATCTGGCAAAGAGGGGACAGGGACGAGAGGTAGGCATTTTGTGTCCCTCTTTTAGATGTGAAAAATCATCTTTGTGTCTGGCGTCGTAGCAACGTTTGAACTCTAGGGGGAGATAACACATTATTAAAAGCCACCCACTAAACCATCACCCCCCACCCCACCCCAAAGTCTTGTTAAAAATCTAATCAAGTGTGAATCAAATTTGATGCCACTAATTGCATCGGTAAATTGGTGTGTGGGCATGACTAAATTTGAAATTCACCATCTTCCAACGCCCTGATGCTTGTATTCAGTGCTAACATTTTGGAGCAACTTTATGCTCCGTTTCTGCTCTCAAATACTTTCGTTTGGATGATAAGCATTTGCTTCCTCTGTCACTCGTATTGCAGCAATCAGGGAAAAACTCAAGACGTCGATGGCTGCAGCCTTTGATCTTTATTTCTCTGTTACAGTTGATTGGTCTTTCACTTGTCTGGTACTCGGCTCTGACTGTCTCTTCTCCTAACCAGTCTCTGACTGTCTCTTCTCCTAACCAGTCTCTGACTGTCTCTTCTCCAGATTTCTTCCCAGCACCAATGTTCCCTTTAAACTGCGCGGCTGTGCAGTAATCTCACAGACGCCGCGCAGCTAATTTCCACTTAAGTGTGTGTTTGTGCATGTAGGCTGTAAAATTTTGCACATAAAAAAAATTGATGCTGTAAAAGTTTGCACACAACTTTATGATTTTGCACACGAGCCAACAAACCTTAGAGGGAACATTGCCCAGCACTATCTATTTCGGCACCTGGACTACGATTTCTCCACGCTTCCTTCTGTCTAAATTTTAACTATACACCTCATTAACTAGCCACCAGCCTCTGCATTCAGTTGCCTTGATTTATTACGGATTTATTATTTGGGGGTCGAATTACCCTTTCACAGGGGTTGCCTTAGAACATTGGAAAACACATCCTTCACAGTTATGAAGAACCAACGAAAATAAGTGTATGGTTCGGGGTCATCACGACACGAGGAGCTGTATTAAGGGGTCGTGGCATTACGAAGGTTGAGAACCACTGGCTTAGAGTATTTTATCAGATATTCTACCTCTTTAGAGTGCTATAGCCTAGAATAACCAAACATGTGTTGGCATCAATTCCAAAATTATTATCACCAGGTGTGTCCTTGTTATGTAATGGGGTCCCACTCACCAAGAACCCTATACCCAAAACATTTTTCTAACAGATACATTCTTTTTCTTCCATTTTTAAAACAATTAAAAAAAACCAAAACCAATGTGTTTTTTTCCTCTGTTTCATTGAAAGGGAAATTACCAGAGAACAAAACAGAGGCCCAAGTTTTCTGTGACATAATGAGGTCAAAAGGAGTTCCTGAGAAGGTCATAGTTCTGGAGATGAAAGCAACAAACACAGGAGAAAATATTCAGTACACCCAGAGTCTCTTGTCTGAGATGGGCGTCTGGCCAAAGTCTGTCATGATCGTCACCAAAAGTTTAATGGAGCTCCGGGCTGCCTTGACCTTCAAGAAACAATGGAAGGGATCAGAATACGTTCATTTATGTGTCTCGTCTCCCCCACTGTCCCTCCTCGAGTACCCCAGTCCCCATGTCGGTACACTGGATGAGGTCATAGCGAACCTCCTGGTGCATTTCCAAAAATTTACAGACTATGCATTGTGTGGTCACCAAGCAGCGGTAGATATCCCAAGCCATGTCCAAAGGGCCTACACTATGTTGGCAGCTCACATGAAACAGGGGGTGGCTAATATAGAGGAACAGAGGGTGGCATCTGATACTTGACAGGCATGTTACATGATCAAGAACTAATTCTATTTGTATCTATACATTTTATACCAACAATTCTGCCTCATTTTGATATACTTTTAAGTACATTTTACAATTTATATTAAATTTGATCCTGCAAGTAAAATATCGTCTTGTTTTAATATTTAAATTGAATTTCAGGATTTAATCTGGTCACTGGTATTCTGTGTCTTGATGGATTAACATATATTGTTAAATAAGGAATACAACTTACTGTAAATGGGTGACAGATAGCAGTGATGTTAATATATGTATTTATTAGAATAGTTCCATTAGTAAAACTATCTTGAATTTAACATTGTGTAATAGACATCGTGTATACTTTAAAAAAAATATTAGCATTACAGTAAATCAGAGCTGTTTCTGTGTTTGCTTTAGCAAAAATCATTCAATTTAAGTTCACAAGAGTAAATTGTTTTTATGGTACAAAATAAAAATAATTGACTGCAAGTTGTATGTTAAAAAACCTGCAATTATTTTATACAAACATGTGTCAAGGGCATTTATAAGTCAAAATTTAAAACTCAAAATTTGGAGGAAAAAATTTATCAAGCACATTATATTATAAATTATATACAAAATAAATTAAAAAGACATGATTAAAAATATATATCACAAATTATAAGCCAAATCTTTAAATATCTATACAATTTGGAGAAATTTAAATGTGTTTTTTTCCTCCTTCAAAACAGTTAGCTACTAATACTGAACCAAACAGTGTTTGTTTTGGTAAATGTTAACATTTCTCATACTTGACTTAAGTTCAGTTTAAAGGTCCCACTGACCCTTTTTTAATATAAATCATAACACTATCCAAAATTTAAATAAGTATTTCATGTAGACGTCTTGGCCTAAAGGGTCACAATTGTTATAAAGAAAAGTACATTCTTGATATTATCACAGTTTCTATCACAATAAAAAAAGCATGTTTCAAGTATGGAAACCATAATATTCAAAAAAATCATCAAGTCTATAATATAATAAGATTTTTAAAAAAAAAGCAAATATTTTTAAATTCCTAAACCTATCACAATTCAAACAAAATAATGCTTCAAATTAAAATAAATGAAATGTGCCACATTTCATCTAAATAATGAATACTTCATTTAACTGAATTTTTTCCAGTCAAATATTTAAAAACATATTTCAACCTATTATCTTACACTCTGCTTAAAAGTCATTCTCACCACTGCAAAACGGAGCGTTATGAGGAGACTCCCTTAAGATAAAAAACCCACTGGGCATTTGATGACCCCCCTGCAGATTTTGCACATGACACAATAAGCTTTCCCATGACAGGAGAAGAAGTGTCTTGCCCATCAAACCCGACTACGATTCTGTGATCTTTTTTGGCCCGAATAGTCTCCCCTTGTTTAGTCAAGTGAAAAAGTGGGTTATCAACCTGTAAAAGAAATTCACGATCATCAGAAATAATATACAGTTCATGAATATGATGCACATTAAGTTCATACAGTTTACATCACAAGACATATCATGGGGCAAATAAGAACAAAGGTGAGAGGCAACATTACACAAATAAGCCAAAATGATCAATAAATTGATCGTGGGCCCTTAAGATATAGAAGAAGAAGAAGATTTGATTTGCACTCAGACGAGGTGTCATTAAAGCATTAGGGGAGTCCTGGGCTCAGGTAACAAAAAAGAAGAGGTCTGTAGACGACTTGTTCATAGATAACAGCCAATAGTTACAAGCAAAGCATATGCAATTTTTTTTAATTTCTAAATTTTTTAAATATATATTTTGCTTAATAAATATCTACCAAGACTTTAGTTATAAGAAATGTTAAAAGAAAATAATATATGGGACCTCTTCTTAATGGTGGGGTTGGGTCCAATGAGTCTGGCAGGCCCATGAAAAAGTCCTGATTTCTGCTAAAAATATATTTTTGTTCTCTCCTTTTTTATCCAAAGAACATGTGATTATAAACAGAATGAACACCAACCTGGAAAACAAATTGTGTTGATACATTGAAAACGTTCCTAAACATGATTGGGGTGGTTGTGCCAGACTTCACAGTGTAAGGACCCTGAGGTTTGGGTGGAATGCAGGTAGCAATCAAAGGGAAGGTGTAATCCCCTCCTTGCGGTGAAGACACACTCAGGGTGGCCAGCTGCTCTCCGAGTGTTGATGGCTCAAACATGACATCCAGCACAACCTCGGTGCCGCCAGTGGAGCCAGGGGCAGCGGCCACAGATTTCTCTACATGGAAGTCTGTATTGTCAATCTGGTAGGATGGTTAGCAGAGACAATAATTGTACCAATGGCTTCTTTTGAAAAGTGCAGATCATAACATTTTAAATAACATAGTAAACATCAGTTCTTAACAAAAAAACATGTTTTAAACACAGCAAAGATGCAGGTTGAAATCAATGTACCGGTAACTTATATTTTGGAGCACCTCATCCAGTGTGGGCCACAGAAGTGACCAGAGTCAATATGGCTTAAAAGTTTACTAAATAAGTAAGGGTTAAACAAAAAACTAATAATAAATTGTAATACAATTTTTATCAAAATAAATTGTTTAAAAAACTAGGAGGCTCAGGAGCTTTTTCTATTAACATGGCATTTGAAATAATGTGGCCAGCTATTTTGATCAAAATCAGGTAGTGATTAAATTATTATATTTTTGGAGACATCCGTCAAGGAACAACGTCACTGAAGAAGATGACATTTTTTTGCGGATGTTGGAGGGACTTAAATTCCAAACTTCATTGCCCCAAAAATGTAGGTCAGCACCTGTCTTATTTGGCCTAGTGCGTGGAGTTTTCTCGACTCCTATTCAAACATATCACAATTACATGATCGCTGGTGGCAAAGCACGGTGTTTTGTAATCAATTTGATTGGTGAAAAGTGACCCACCTTGCATGCGTAGTCAGTTTTCTGCTTGGCAAAGTTAAAAAACTTGGCCACTTGAGTGACGTTTGTCCCCAGTCCAGTTCTGAAGTAGATGGGTTTCTCTGGGGGAGCTGGTGTTGCTGTAAAGTTCAGGTCGTAGGTAAACTGTCCTAGTTCAGTGCAGGTTAGTTCAAGGCGACCACTGACCTCACCCGCTTTCAAAGGTTGGTATTCAAAACTAAAGTGACCCTATAAAAAGAGAAGATAGCGTCACACTGGGATCCAGGAGAAGATGAAATCGGAATGAAGCCTCAAAAAAATATTTTTAAAGCTGCTTTCAACATTTTAAGAATATGATCATATTTTGTTACATACAACAAACAAACTTGAAGCGTTTAGGTCATCATATTTATCTCCCTTGAATGGAAAAGGTATGACACTACTTTTGTTATCTCTCATCTCCATGTTTATTGACTAGAAGGAACGTACTTGTGAGGAAGCAGGTACGACGAGTTGATTAGGAATGAGAACCTCTGGAACTGAGCAGCTGGTTGAAAATGTCACTTGGGAGCTGAGCGGGTTATCAAGTGTCAGTGTGTACGGCACAATCTGCCTCACTGGAGTGGACAAATTGATGGTAGAGATTGTGCCTGGCCTGGTTGCCTTGAACGTCACCTCGTAAAATTGGTACTCTCCCGTTTGTTCGTTTAGAAATGTAATCTGGAAAGAAAAGGGAGAGCAGAATAAGCCACAAAAAAAAATTATAAAACACCCAATAATAATATTGACTGAATAATTAGTGAATTGGAGGACAAATCCACAAGGTTCTCACCTTTATCATCGTGACCCCCTCCTTGTGGGCATGGAAAGATAACTTGTAGTCCTTTGATCCTTTGGCTGGCACATCAATGTACTCCACACCTTTAACAATGGTGCCACCATCAATTTTTTCTGATTTCAGGGATTCAATCTTGACACGGAATCTGACCAAATAAAAGAAAATACTTTAAAAAATGATTTTGCGCTCGGTTGTAGCTATGCCAAGTCATAATAATTTAATATTTTATTCCCATAGTTCATGCTGTTAATGAACTCAAATTGCCTACTTCTACTTCTAGGTAAAAAGGCATTCAACTTGAACATAAAGATTACTTGATGAGATAACCACCCAAAATTGTAGTAATACTCTGGGAGCTTTAAACACAATTTACGTTTTAAAAACAGTTACTAATGCCTTCAGGAGTATTTTGTATAAAATAGTTACTAACAATTAGGGTATAAAATAGTTACTAACAATTAGTGTATAAAGTAGTTACTAACAATTAGTGTATAAAGTAGTTACTAACAATTAGTGTATAAAACAGTTACTACCAATTAATGTATAAAAGAGTTACTACCTTTGTGGTTTCTTCAGCCAGTTATACACAGGCAGAAGCTCGGTGTAGCCAGTTTTGCATGGTACATCGCGTTGAATTTTAGCAATAACTTTTGGAGGCTCTGCAGTTCCCTGCAGGTTGAAGAGGAGCCCTGATCCATCAGGGAGAGGAAAGAAAATGGAACCCTGAAATAAGACAATAGACATATGAAGACAACAACATAGTTTCTCATAAAACTATATGAAAAACTCATTAAAAAAATCTTTTCGTATTAGTAATTTTCTGTCATTTATTTAAAAAAAAGAATATCAAATTACATAGTGTTACATATAAATGTACATATAATACCGTATGTTTTTTAGTCTCTGATGTCATTGCCAGTGGCTCATAAGTCAGTGGGTAGGCAGAGCTTTGCTGAGGCTCCACGAGAAAAGTGACAGGTCCAGTCCAGTACTCTCCATCTATGATAGGCTTCAGGTTCCAAGTCTGGTTGCTCTTGTTAGGGATCATCAGCTGCCTGGTTTCCTTCTCACGAACAACACACTGGAAGTTTTGCACCTCCTTAACCGGCGGGATGCCAGTACACGACCCTGTTAAGGTTAGTGTTAGGGGCTTGTGGGGTCCGCCGTCTAAAGAGCACTTTAGTTTCTGTGGACATTTTTTTTATAATTTACAAATTGAGTGTATTTTGGTCATAAATTTTAGATAAATGCTCAAACACCTTCTTACTCTCAACTCCAATACTTTCATACTCCAATACTTTCATACTCTCAGTTCCAATTCTTTCATACTCTCAGTTCCAATTCTTTCATACTCTCAGTTCCAATATTTTCATACTCTCAACTCCAGTTCTTTCATACTCTCAGTTCTAATACTTTTAAAGTCTTAGCTCCAATTATTTCAAACTCTTTGCTCATTTACTTTCATTTTCTCTGTTTCAATTATTTCATACTCTTAGCTCCAATTATTTCAAACTCTTTGCTCCTTTAGTTTCATACTCTCAGCTCCAATTCTTTCACACTCTTAGCTCCAATACTTTCCTACTGGAATCATGTGCCTGGGATCATGTAAGCCAACAGATAAATGCCCAATAAATTGTTGATTGACTAGAAAGTATTAGAACAATAAGATTCAACTCTAATCTCATCAAACTATTTTTCTTTAAAATACTGTACACTTTTAGCATGTCGCCACAGTGGGATAATTTTAACAGTATAAAAACATGTGGGCTCTGATGAACCAACAGTTATTGACAGCTGGAAAGTGTTTCATTTAGTTCAAGAAGAGTCCATTAAAATGTATTCTGGTTGTATATTTTACAAACCCCCGTCACAAACCCCTGTCACAAACCCCCGTCACAAACACCCACACAAACACACGACAACCAAAAATAATAAGAAAGAAGTTTTATTTGCTCTTACATCATATCGAACATCTCCGCTGACATTCTGGGGGTGAAATTCAACATCAAAGGTGACATCCATGCCTGGAGTGATGTACCCTTCAACAGGGGTGATACTGAAATCCGGCTTGAATTGTTTGATATCCCAGCGAAATCTAAGCAAGAAAATTAAAAAAAATTTTTTTGGAGAAGTTTGGCTTGTGGACTGCTTAAGGATGCTACAACTCAGGGGTGGGCAGACGGGTTTCGCTGGGAGCCAGATTCAGAGGTAACAGAGGGATGGGAGCCATAAATGGGGAAAGTTGTGGGGGTGGGGGGACATTTTTCCCGAATCATAGGGAATTTATTATTTAAAAATTAATATCAAACATCTTGTGGAATTGCTATTAATTCAAGAAATGAACCATCATAATTAAACAAAATAGCAGCAAATAAATAAAACCACTAGTACAAGTCTTACTGTGACATTGAATACATAGGCTAATGGCTGTTTGAGTTGGAGAATGCCACCTTTAGCTGTACATGTCATTGGTGTGATACATGCACTTGATTATTCTCACAGTGTCCTGGGGTGTTTTTTTTTCTCCACTTTTCCATTTTTATGATTATTTTAATAATTTTTTTTAGGAGAGTGCGAGCCATTCAAAACGGAGGCGGGGATCATATTTTACCCACCTTTGCTTTACTAATTTAATTAGAAATTTATTACTGATTAAAGACAGATAGCAGATTTAGATAGGAAAGAGCTTGAAAGAGCTAGAGTTGATTGCACACGACTGGAGGGAGTGGAAAGACATTGTTAATGCCCTAAGCTTTTCTTGGAGTTGAAGAAGACAAAGAAGAAGAAGAAACCCAGACAAAAGATAAAACAGACTTGTACTAACTTTGAGCTCATGTCACCAGTATTGGACATGACTAGTTTGCGTATGCTGCTACTGCGCTGAAAGACAGTTCCAAATGCCAAATAGTCGGAGTCTAGTGAGATCTCCATGCCCAGGCACGATCCTTTCACTACAAACAAAGGCTGAGAGATTCCAGAACATTCCATCAGTACCTGCAGGCAAACATTTATAGTCAATTTATAGTTTACGAGGCACCGGCACGAAACAGACTGAACAGTTCCGGAACAAACCTTCACAGTGAATTATGGGATTAGATCAGTTTACAAGCCAGATGCACAAATATATCGAAGAGATCTAGAACAAACCTCTTCAGTGAATTGTGGGATGCGGGCTTTGGGTCTGAACCAGACCTCAACTTTTGTGGTTCCGCCATTAGCTTCTAGAGTTATCTGTTCTTTGGGCGTAATAGAGAGCACTTCTTTCTGTTGTAGTCCTGGTTCTGTAGGGGTGAAGGCCAGGTTAAAGGTCAAGGACACTGGACTGTTGTTGACAATGGGAATGAACTTTCTGACACTGTCACCCACCATTTTTGACCCGAGGTTCACACACTTGTGTTTTGGGTCTGCCACTTCAATCTGAAAATATTCCGAATAAATCATGAATTAATTTCTTTTATCAGCCATACGCTGTGATTTGTGTGCACTGTTACCTTTGTGTGTATACTGTTACCTTTGTGTGCACTGTTACCTTTGTGTGCACTCTGCAGTATCAAACATGTTTTAAAACGTACCAATCCTTGTTTGATCTCATCTATCAAATTAGATTTACAAATTATATTATTTTACAATTTCACCGGCTAGTTTAGATTAAAGTAAATTTAAAAAATTAGATGTCATATTTTGCGACTTTGAGAGTCCTTATTTCCATTGATTAGCTGCATTACTGGTCTGACAAGTGCAGTCATTCATCTATTTCCGTATAGTTAGGGACAACTCCAGGATCAATTTGAAATCCAATAACTCTTGGTTGTAAGAGAGACAATATTTCCATTTTGCTACATGGGCCACCATTACACTGTGATACAGAGTCACCATATGTAACATACAGTACTCGGTCAATATTACCTTTGTGATACAGGGCCAATTTATGTAATATACAGTAATCAGACAAGTTATGATATAAAATGAATTTCTATAATTCAAAATAAAGATATTTAACTTGGCTCAGCAACATCATCAATATGTAACAGGCTCAATCTTTAACATACTCAATTTGTGACATAATCAAATGTTTGCCTCCCACGCTGAGCTGTTGGAAAAAAACTTGAACTTGCATTAAAGAAACCAAGAACTTACTTTCATTTCATGTCCAGCACCAAAGAACTCCACTTTCTGTTTGCTGAGGCCATTGATCTCGAAGACAACATTCTCATGGTATTTGATTGGCTGTGTGGGAGTGAAGGTGAATGGCACTTTGACAGTCTTACCTGGCGCTATCACACAGGCTTCAAACTTGTAGGACAGCTGACTTGTTGGGGCATACATGCAGTCAACACTTGGGAAAGATATGCAAATAATCAGTAAATAAGATGAATGTTTGTAAAGATCTTATGAAAAGCAATCATTATGCTCAATTTAAAATAAATTTATTTCCACTTATCTGAATCATAAAATGTATATCTTTTTTAAATAATTTATGAGAGAGAGATGGAACTGCAAAAATGTTCACTTTACTCCAGAATTTTTGAAAACATAAATAAAAGATATGAAAGAAATATTTATAAGGGAATATTATCACTCTATATCAAGAACTTTGTTTTGTGAAACCTACCTGACTTCTTTCTTGTCTTTGTTGGTCAGCTTGAGAATAGCCTGGTTCTTAGGAAGGTTCAGCCCAGTCTTCTGTATGAAGTTGTTGCCAAAATTGTAGGTTCGGAAGGAGAAAACCAGACCTGGATTCACACTGTGTCCAGTAACACTCAGATTGTAGGTAGGGCCATTGGTAACCTGTAAATGGAAGAATTTCAGGCATTCTCTAAATGACCAGCTCAAATCCTGAAAGCTACAAACATCCAATACAGATCTGTTGATTGAAGTAAACTATTTTATAAACATTCAACCATTGCAGTGTTGCCACTGGTCACTGGTAGTGATCAGCATATTGATGAATGCAAATGATTTTTGAATCAAAACACAATAAGACATAACCCTCTCTTTCTTTTTCACCTTAAAAGATCATTGGAGTGATTGACAGAAGGTCTTGTTTTGCTACAGTTTGCTGAGGCTTTTAAGGACCAGTCATTTATACAAAGTTGTGTTTGACAATGCAAACATTGATTTGAATTAGGAATAAAGCCCTAAATTCATCATGCGATTTTTAAAATTTAAGGAGAAACAAAATTATTATTACTTTAAAAAAAAAAATTTTATGCTTGACTCCATTTTTTAGGTGGGATACAGGGTTGAGGTTAAAAATGAGAATTCAAAAACCTACATTTGGCCTTATCTCCCCTGAGCACAAGATGTCAGATACCCTAAATGTAGGGCTACAAACTTACTTTGATGCTGAATTCACAGTTTTTGACAGACATCTTCTTCTGGGGACAGAATGCCAGAGACATCTCCTTTGTCTCACCGCTCATGGCTGAACCCATGGAAGGGGTCAAGGTTATGGCCTCCGTCCCAGTTGATTTGGGGCTGAACTCTGATTGGAAGTCAAAGTTAAAATTTCCTGTGTTGAGCAAGAACAGATGTCTGATGACATTCTCATTGATCTCCACCTGTGAGAAGATAGAAAAGTAGGTCAAATGTCACAAGTAGGTCAAATAACACAAGTAGATCAAATAACACAAACAGGTTAAATAACACAAGGTAATCAAAACGTCTGGAATTATACAAAAGTCTGAAATTATACAAAAGTCTATAATTCAAATCTTAATTATATCCAATGATCTAATGTTGAATTGTGAAATATTTTCAAGTATATTTAATGTTGGATTGTGAAATATTAGATGCATATCCTAAGAGCTGGCGTTAAATTGTAAAATATAGTTTCAAGTATATTTGATGTTGGATTGTGAAATCTGTGCCACTAATAAGCAGGAACTGACCTCTCCAAAATTGATCTGGTTGACGCCTCTGTCACTCAGCTCCACTCTGTTTCCTGTCGAGTCCTCACACAGCAGAATACTGTTCATCTGATAGCCCTCTGCCTTCACATTGAGTGTTATTGGTGTCTTCTTGTGCTGGATATTACAGCGCAGATTGAAGTTGACTTCGTTCTCAGACTTGGGTGAGAAGTACAGGTTTATTGCAACGCTGAAAAGATAGTGTGTAAGAGAAGATAAAGTCAATATAAAAGATATTGTGTAATAGAAGATAAGGTCAATGTAACAAATATTGTGTAATAGAAGATAAGGCAAATATAACAGATATTAAAGTCATTTACTTCATTTATTTATTTATTTATTTAGTCATTTTTATATAGCGCTTACCATAAAGCTCTAAGCGCTTTACAATTATTAAAAACATGTGAACTAAGTAAAATAAAAATGAGACACTAGGATAGTAACTACTATACTATAGAAACAATGAAAATGGCTATAAAACGAGGACACTTTGACACGTTTTGGCCTATACTTCAGGATCAACTCGAAACAGAAAATGAGTCAGGGCAAGGAGGGTGCATCACAGGTCATATTCTAAAAGTCTAAATAAAGCTTTTGGACAATACTTTCTAAAGCAAATGCGCATAGAAATAGAATTGTGTTTGATATCCATGTAATGTCTAAAATATCTGTAAATTTCTTTGAATTAAATTAAGATGGTTCAACCAAAATGTACACTTTCTAAGCAATAATTCTTTGTAAAAAGACAAATTTTGAATATCATAAAATTCACTCAGTCAAAGAATTCCTACACGAACTTTTTATTTCACCTCATTTTAGACTAGTTTGTGACACATGTTCCCTAGTTTGTGACACATGTTCCCTAGTTTGTGACACATGTTTCCTAGTTTGTGACACATGTTCCCTAGTTTGTGACACATGTTCCCTAGTTTGTGACACATGTTCCCTAGTTTGTGACACATGTTCCCTAGTTTGTGACACATGTTCCCTAGTTTGTGACACATATTCCCTAGTTTGTGACACATGTTCTCTTTTAATACCATTTAAATATAATCTCCATTGGTGGCAGAACAATCACCAACCTACGCTTTGCGGACGACATAGACATGCTGGCTGGGAACGAAGAAGAGCTAGCCGACCTGGTAGAGCGTCTCGATAAGACCTCGTCGTCCTACGGCATGCTAATCAGTGCCAAAAAGACAAAACTGATGACAAATAATACTGCAGGATCACCACTGAAATTAAGGTCGGGGAGGAAAGATTAGAGACTGTCGGCCGCTTAAAATACCTAGGAGCAATAGTCTCAGAAGAAGGCTCCAAGCCTGAACTGATGTCCAGGATTGCGCAGACTACAACAGCACTAAAAAAGCTCAAGAAAATATGGAATGACAAAAATATAGCCCCCAGCACCAAAATCAGGCTGATGTGCTCATTAGTCCTCTCCATTTTCCTGTAGGCATGCGAATCCTGGACATGAACAGCCGATCTTGAAAGGAAAATAAAGGCGATGGAGATGAGATGCTTCAGAAGCATTTTTGGCATCTGCTATAGGGACCATATCTCCAATGATACAGTGAAAGAAAGGGTTCGTCAGGCAATTGGGGAGTACGATGACCTACTGGTGACTGTGAAAAAACGCAAATTACAATGGTACGGCCACGTAACAAGGAAACAAGGGCTTGCCAAAGAAATATTGCAGGGCACCACAAGAGGAGGGAGAAGAAGAGGAAGACAAAGAAAAAGGTGGGAGGATAACATCAAAGAGTGGACAGGACTAACACTGGGCGATGCAGTGCGTAGTGCTGAAGACAGAGAGGAATGGAGGAGGATGGTTCACATGTCATCTGTGGCGCCCCAACGGTCGAAGGACTAAGGGACATGAGGAGGAGGAATAAGCACTCATTTACGTGACAGTGCAAGACTATTTTATGTATTTCTATAAATGACAATACAAAAAGACAATTAGGTTAAAGTTAAAGTAGGATTTTATACAACCGTAATTTGGTATACCAAAAAAAAACAACCCAAATTATCTTAATTATCCTACAGGAGATCTGATCAATCTTATATGTAGTACTAATTTAAATAGTACTACTATTAGGTTGTGCATTAGTGTGATTGTTTGGCGTTACAAACTGCTAAGTAAATTCATAAATCATGTACATATATGAAAGGTATAATTCATAAATCATGATGCATATATTAAAAGTATATATTATGACTGATACAATTATAAACTAAATTTCAGAATATTGATTATGAAGAAACTCACTTAAAATTATTATATCACTTCACAGAAAAAAATGGTACGAGCCACACCTTGCTGGGGTAAGTATTTTATTTCCGTGGCATCATTCTGATATAATTGCAGAAAAAACAATCAAATTTAATTATTGAAAAGTTGTTAAATAATCAAATTTACATAGACTACTATTTTGTAATAATTTAAATAAAGCACAGCCAGGGAGATACACAAAAAATGTGGGGTTAAACTCATGTAATTGTTCCATAACTGAATCTATGAAAATATTCATAATGTTAATATTATCATTTTTCTTATAGTTTATAGTTGCACAGATTGTGAGGTACAACCATTTAGAGAGAAATCATATAACACTGATTATTTGTTAGATTCTAATAACTAATACTGGTACTTATAGTTATGATGTACTGGGCCTTTTTCTTGCCGTTTTAACACCTTGTTATACAAAAAAAAAATTCAAGACTTAGCATAAATTTAGTGAAGAAATTTAGTTGTTTAAATTTTCAGCCAACAACTTTACCAGGCCACAACATCAACTTCAAACCACTGAAAAAGGGCATTACTGAGCCTCATAGGACGAGGGTGCGCCAACTGAGTCACGTTCTCTATGATAAAATCACAGAGCTAATGAACTCTTCTGAATTGTCTGAGGAAATAGTTAACAAACAAGTGCTTGTTACTTCAGTGAGTACCAGCTGCATTTTATTCTTTATTCTAATTACATTCTGGGCTACTAGTATATCCAAGTTAAATTTATAAAATATTATTAAACTTTGACCCTTTCAAACAGAGATCCAGTTATTTTGTTCAAGTTTTTAAAATCGGAAGGACATTGTTTTCTTTACCGGCAACAATAACTTTTCTTTAGTTTTGAAATTATTATACCACCAGAATCGCTTTTTTTAACCCACTTCATGTGAATGATGTGTATATGTTTATATGTGAATGATGTGTATATGTTTAAATGTGAATGATGTTATTATTATTATTATTATTACTCCACTCATCCCCTATTTGCCAGGCGGAAGATAAGAATAAACAATAATGGTGGCAGTCCTGCCTCAGACAATTCTTTGATCTACCGGTAAACTAAAAATGGTAATGAAGCCTTGTTTACATCCTGATAAAGGAAAGGAAACTACTGGATATAAATTGCCCAGTGCAGCAGATGGCTAGGCCACAAGCGTCTTATGTAATTTTTGTTTACTCAAATCGTCAAATACTGTGTCTTATATTACGGGTGCGTCTTATGTAAAATATTTTTTACACAAATCGTCAAAACCCGCATCTTATATATGGGTTTGTCTTATATGTGCAAAAAATACGGTAACTGTCACAGATATGAGTGTGTGAACAACTAATGGAAGACAAGTAATATGCTTAATATTAGTGTTGGGACTTGTGATGACTGGCCAATCAGAGTGTTTGATTGGACAATTAGAGAAGAAAACAGTAGCGGTGAAGTGAAAAGAGATCGTAGGATTATGTAATCAAGATTTGGTTAATAACATTTTCAAGTAAAAGAAGATTATATTATGGAAGTAGAAGAGGAATTGAAATTTTTGTGATGTGATTCTTACAACTACAGAAACTTTTTTTTTTTTAAATATATTTCTCATGACCACAATCTAATTTTGATTAACTTCATGCTAGAATTATTAATATACTTTGGTTTGGGTACCACAATTAAGTACTACTGACTCTGAACATGGATGCAACAGAGGTGAAATTGGGTACACGGCTTAGCCTCAAGGGGCCTCTCATTCTTACAAAAGTTGGAGGAGCCTCAATTTGTCTATTCCAAAAATATAATGAGAGAACAAAGATGCAATCGAACATTCCCCTAATTATTGCACTCCTGTTGGCTTTCAACATTTTTTAAAAAGTTTAAATTAAAAAAATTTTTTTACTTCTCTTGTGGAAACTTAAATTGTGTTGTTTCATTGACAGAAGATTAGTCTACGCATAATCTAATATTGAGAATTTTTTGTCACCAACACACATAGGTAAAGATGCAATTAGATTTCTCTAGTATCCATGTCTACTGGGACTGTCACAGATCTGATGCAGGGGATTTAGAAACTTTATTACTAAATCATGCAAACAAATTAAGGTTTGATATTTTTTATTGTAGACTACACAGATAATAAACTATATCACGACATGCTATATTTGTACTTCAATTTGGTATGTACAGTGCTTCAAGCCTTTGGGGATGAAGCATGATTTTAAAATAATCTTTATTATTATTATTAATATTAGGCCTTAACCAATGATTGTTATGGTAAACATTACTTTTTTAAAGTTTGATTTATGAAGGAATGCCTCAATTTCCATTTGAACTCAGAAACCATTAGTGTTTTGTTTGAATATTGGCTTGGATGTTGTAATTGTTTTATTAATTTCTTCAATTGGTATTTAATAAGTATAGATAACTACCGTACTCAACTACTGGTATATAAAATGAGTCTTAATTGTTTTACATTTTCACTATAACACATCAATATATTTATAATAATACACATTTAATTTTTCTTTCCAATACAGAAGTTTACTAATATCCTATCATGTCTTGGGACGCATTCCGCCTATCATCTTTAAGAAGGACAAGACGCATGGTGACCTAGCTCTAATTGATCAGTTACTTGAAATTGCAGACTACGGACCTGATTATGTCCCATCAAACCCTCATTTTCAGGTCAAAGGTTATGGAGAAATCTCCAGCTCGACACCTGAGGTTAAGAATTATGATTTCGCTGCAGAATTATCCCAAAGCCTGACACAAATGACTATAGATGATTATGGCGGTGCACAAAATAAACAAGAATCAAACTCAGACAGCGATGTCTCAAATCTTTCTGCTGGGAAACCTAACGAACTCCCTGGGGATTCGTTAACCCCAGGCCTTATATTTCGATCTGACATTTATGGTTTGCCCAGAGACAAACTGCTGAAGAAAATTGTAGCCCAGAGAGACAGGGTGAAATTTCAACCAGGGGATTTAGAGACAGAACCTACATCAGATGAAGAGTTTGATTCCAAGAGACTGTTGAACCAGAAAGACAAAGTCTTGCTGAAAGAGAAGAAAGGCTTCACCAAGATGAAACAAAAACTCTTGGAGAGAGAAGTGGACGATTTTTAAAGTGAAAAATTGGCTAATGAAGTTTATTTCATGGATGTAAGTGATGCAAGGATATTAAAGTTGAAGTGTGTTTGAAATCTGTGACAAATTTAGACATTGAAAACAGCAGAGGCTATTTTCCAGTGTGTTAGAAAATGTTAGTAATACTTGAAATAATATATTATAATATACTGGTATATATACCTAAGTAATAAACTTATGTCAATGTGTTTAGCTGAGTTCAATAGCGCACAATATAAAATTCCCCAAAAGAGCTCCAATGTGCACATTTTTGTTCACAGGCTGCAAAAACTAACAATTCCTGCACTAAATGAATTTTTTTTTATAACAATGATTAGTGATAGAATTTTTTTGTTTTATTTTACTGAATCAGTTTAAATCCTATAAATTAATTATACAGTCAAACCCCCTTATCTCGACGTCGGTTAACTCGCCAACCCTATTATGTCGACATTTTTGAAGTGGAACCGCCAAATTCTCTCTTTGACCTAGCATTTTCTCCTCGGTTATGTCGATTCTTTTATGTCGCCGAATCCTTATATCTCAAGCACAAAAGGCGGCCAAATTTTCCACTTAACCTCAGTTATCTCGATCCCCATGACCAATCGCCGGCTTTTGAACTCCGCAAGAAGAAATAGCAAACAACAAATAAACAAGTTTTTTATAATTAAAAATAATTATTTACCGGTATTTCTCAAAATACATGATTTTTGTTTTAGGATGAACCTAGAAGTAATTTAAATAATTTTAATTTGAGGTTTAAAAACCCGGTAGAGTCCGTATTATAAACCATCATAATTTGGTGTGTGCAAAATGTCATGGGGAGCCATTCACAGTCACTTGCATAATGGCTATGCCGTTGTGCTATGTCAGAGTTGTATTCATAAGAGTTTGAAAAAGCTATCAAACAATTGGTCAGGAAAAGCTTTAATTAAATAGTCATGTGCCAAAGTTGAAAGTTCAAAATAAGTAGTCCCTAAATAGTATTTTAGTAATAAGGGGATGCGTTGCCTTATATAAACTATATAGTTATTGCGCAAGACAAGATCTGCTGAATGAGGTCACATAATGTGGAGACTTCGTCTACAGTAAAAATACCCAAACCAACTCGCACTTTAAAAATTCGTAGCTCAAAAAGTACTAAAGTTAAAAAGTTGATTCTGGTTTCATTTTTTAGATGTGCTCTAAATAACTGTAATAGTTGTTTTTTTAGGTTTTTTTTCTGAAGTACCTGCATTTATTAACGAATATCATTTACATAAAGAGATTTCAAGCACATGTTAATATATTGCTGCCGTATTGGTTTTGGGTTATTTTGATCATCGGTTATCTCGACGTTTTTTTGGCAAACCCTGAGGCCGTCGACATAACCGGGTTTTACTGTACTTATATTATATGTAAATATATGCAAGTATAATCATAAATTAAAATAAAACTAAACAAAAATTAAATAATTATTTTATACAATTTTGACAGCGAAATTACAACACCCCATTTTTGGGCTTTTCCCTATTATTAATGAAGTCAAAATGCCTAATAAAAGGAAATTGACACAAAACTATATGTATATTACTATTATTAATTAAAAGAAAATAATATTTCAAAATTATAGTAGTTTAAGTATTAACCTGTATGCGACATTGTATTTTTGATAAAAAGCATTCAATTGTTCATAACTATACCCTAAATTTAAATGTAGAATACTATTTTTCCCATTATTATAGAACTTTAATATTAATTATTAATAGGCTCTTCTATAGTGATAGTGAAAACCTAAAAATCACAATCTCCTCTTATCATCAGTTGGTTTTTTCAAATACAGGTATAAATTATAAGCAAAAAGAATTTGTGTATACCTTTCCAAAATACAAAGCAGACATATTTTTTCTTCATTTGACTTTTTATGCTTTGAAAAGTGCAGGTACAAAAAATGTCAACTTTAACTCTAAGTGCAAGATACTTATTGTCTTATTAAATCTAAATTTAGTTAAATGGCTCAATTTATTTCAAACCGTATCACCTTTTTGCTTAAACTTGAATTGAGAGAACTTAATTTAAACCTGCTAATCGACAGCATTAACTCGTTAACTTTTCTTGATTTTTAGTGTTACAAAACTAGTGTTTGCTCCACTCTTTTTAAAATAAATATTATAATTGCTTTTTGTTTGCGATTTATAAAGGAAGAAATTGTAAAAAACATTTTAAAAATATTAAAAATAAGAATTGTTGACCAAGCAATTTTTTTTCAATATCACATAAAGATTGGAATACAGTAATCCCTTGAATATTGCAGGGGTTACGTTCCAAGACTATGTTACATGCGAAAAACCGCTAAGTAGGGAGTTATGTATACTGTAAAGCTTAATAAACCTTCCCACAGTGATGTAGGATTTATGTATACTATATTATTTTGTAAAGCTTATTTTTAAACCCTTCTCACACTCTTATAAACCTTCCCACAGTGAAGTAGGATTTATTTATACTGTAAAGCTTAATAAACCCTTCTCCACAATTTTATTAATCCAACACTCCAATAAACACTTCCTTTGTTCTTAAACACTTTACAGTAGTCATATACTCTTAAATATACGTAAGAAAATAATGAAAATATGCAAGAGTACCTTCAAACAAACAACCATATTAACGTTTGCCTTTAATTTTATTAACCGAAATAGATTAAATATAAAGTATGTGAATAGAAATTAAAATACCAATATGATAAGTTTATTAATTCATCCTGAAAAACTCTCGACTCAAACAAAACCTTTGCATTTTTTTTTAAATTAAAAAATATATACAAAAGCCTTTTGAACAAATTAACTTTCCCCATCTCACAAAAGGTACCAGTACACAGTATTCAATCAAAACCAGTAAGGAAGGCAGAAAATATAAACTGCATACTGCAACACTTCATTCTTAAAGTTAAAGGCCTAAAACTGATGGCATATTTTAAATCAAGAACAAGATGTTTGCTTGCTAATATGTTGTAATAACCGGTAACTACGAAGTAAGATAATTTGAGGTTAGAAACTTTGGTTTTAGTCCAAAGTGATGCTAATTCTTAGAGAATAGAATCTGTATATTACCACAATATGGTCTAATTTCCTATATCCCAAACCGTAGTTGTAGATAATACTTATTTTTTTTAAATTTTCATCTAAAAAATAAAAAAAAAGAATCATTCTGCACTTTCCGCTAAATCTACAGTTGGAATACTTAATTATACTGGTACATAATTAGGTTTCAGGTAGCAATGAATTAATGTACCTGGACACAAAAATATTTGACTATTTATGTTAAATAGGTAATATTCGAGATGTCCATATTTTGAACACAAGCATTATTTATAGCTCTGAAACACAAACACATTTGATAGAAAACAACAGAACACACTTTGGCAGATCTTGATCTAGGATGATCAATGACAATGATATCTACAGCATATAATTTGTACAGCAGTGTATGAAGGAGTAAAAAAGGCAGAAGATATGCGAAACGAGGCCCTTGCAACAAAAAGAATAATACGAAAGTCAAAATCTTACCAGGAATCAATATTCTCCTGCCAGAAATGCAGTCGAGATTGTCATAGGATTGGCCTCGTGAGCCACTCGTCGAAGTGTAGGAATACATGGCTACTCCATCGTCTCGCGAAGACGGAAGGATGCCATATATCATTTGTACAGTCTTAGACCATTGATATTCAATAGTTAGTCTTTAAATTAATATAAAGGGTGAAACCATGATAAAAAAAAATGTCTTGCAATTTAAAATTTTGCAATGGGAATCAACTCAGTCCTAAGTTCCATGGGGAGATACTCTCTGATCTTGTCATACAAGTCTTCAGTTCCTGTTATCACCCGTTGCCTAAAAGTAAAGAAAACAACATAGCTAATTAGTTTTAGAATTCTGATGAAAACATCAAAAGAATGCTTGAGACAATCTGTATCATGCACAAAGTAAACCAACTGATGGTCTCCATCCTGGTTCACTGATGTTAACATTCAGCTAATCAAGGGCATAGGACTAACTTTATTTATTGGTGAACTAAACTTATGAACATTTTCTTGCATTATGTCTGGTTGAATTGGAAGGTGATGTATAGTATAATATATATTTCATGGCATTTAACTTGGAGGTCTTTCCTGAGGATTTTTACAAGTCTCCCAACAACAAAAATAATTAATATATGGGGTAAAATTGTAAAAATAAATTTTCATACATAAATTTACCCTTTCTTAATTTCATTTTCTTTTACTTAATGATAACTTAATCAGAATGGTAATAACACTAATAACAGTAATAAGTTATCTTGGATACATGTTCATGACCGAGGATAAAAGTGCCTGTATTCTACAAATGCCAAGCTGGCCTATAAGTCTGTGCTGTGCTTCTATATAATTACTTCGCTCACTATACTATAAAATTATCCATTTTTGGGCATTAGTTAGTGACTATTTTATCTCAACAGTATTAATATTAAACATCTTAAACCTATCACTGTGTGATGTCTTAAAACCGAAGGTCATAGGGCAGTGCAGGTGAGAAATTTATATGTGTGCAAAAAAAACATTTATTAAGGGTAAACATATTTTCAAAGCACATTGACATAATATTGTTGGGAAATCAAGTGAGAGCACAGGAGAAGTTGTAACACAGAAAAGGGGGAGGTCACAAAAGCGCAGGTGTCCTAACCACATCAACAGAGCAACCTTTTAGGAACCTGGGTGACATAAAATCTGACACTATCTTCTCCTTCTTTCCGTTGCTTGTACAGGGGAGGCGTCGCAGGGTATCTGGTATAATTACTAATGGCGTTGGGGAAAAATGAATAGGGAAACCAAAAGTATCTTGTGTAGCTAGTTGGTCATTGTAAAAATGTCTATACCCCCACCAACGGGACCAAGTTAGATGAAATAGATAGCTGAGTATTACTGCCAGGAAAGTCTTCGGGTCAGAGTAATCAAGATGGGAGCTGCGGTACTAAAGGTGTCACAGAAGAATGACTAGGATGGGCAATTTAAACCATTTATGGCACCATGTTATTTAAACAGGTAGTCTAGCCAGGTATGGGAGAGTGTGTCTCCATCCTGTAGTGTTGTGACATTGGGGACAAAACCTGGTATTCAGAGACCAGAGTACGAGACGTTCAAAGAGTAGAAAGCAGAATATAAGCTGTGATTGTTAGCAATTAGTGCAATTCAGTCAGGAAGGAATTGTGAGAGACAGTAAGAAGATTCTTACAAGCATTTATTAAAATTTAAATACACATAAGAATGTGTGGCCAAATAAATTCTGGATAACATGTTTCTCAACTATGGAAATGTAAAAATTTTGACCATGATTTAGGAAGCACCGTCGACAGTGAAGCTGAATTCTGTGTAATGACCAACATCAATTCCTAAAAATGTTACGCTTTGACTGGTGAACATTAAAAATCTAATGCTCGCAGGTGCTACTGATAACTACCGCGAATTAAGAAAATTGCTAGTACAATTCAAAGCAAAATATATCATTAAAAAGGGCTATTGGTACAGTTTTTATTCGCTTTATAATTTTATCCTTGATGAGCCAATAATGCTATTGGATAGTTGACTTTTTATCATACTTTATGCATAAGTTAAGAAGTACCTATTAATAATGGGAATAATTTTCTTTTGAGATGTGATTTGAGGCCCTCCAGTGAATGTAAAAAAAAAATGTTGGACAGCACTGTCATAGGGTCTCTGCTGGTTTGGGTGGAAGTGGAAGAATGTGTCTGTGAATGTCATGAAAAAACAACACTCCAAACGCCATGATCATATTAAAAATCCCTCAGGTTTTGGCATGTATTGTACAAGTAGGAACATGAGCTTTTTAACACTGAAAATCAATGTAAAATAGATATATGTGCAGATATTCAAGTCAGTGATATACGAGCTAACCAAAGAATTACATTTACAATGAAAAGGGCAGACAAATGTTTTTACTAATTCCAGTGCTCAAACATTGGATGAGAAGATGTAAACTTTTACTGTGACAGTAATTTCCCTTTGATGCAACGATTCCCATCTTTACATTAACTCAGAGACAGACAGCGAGGTAACGGCTGCAGCGGGAAGGAATAAGTACTTAAGTTTTTGAATAAAGATGATAATAATGATAATGATATAAATAAAAAGTTAAAGTACTTACGTCTTCATTAGAAGAATAACATCTTTTTCATTGATCACTTTTCTCCCAGCATGCAATGCATATGCTTCAAGGGCTTTAAAAGTGTCATCCCACCAAATTTCAGATCTGCATTCATAAATAGAAGTAAAACAACATAATGACATCATAACGTCAGACTGATTACCAAAGCTGATCATCTAATGCAGTGGTTCCCAACCTGTTCTCAGCTGTGTGCACTTCTCAGGAGCTCTGTCAAGTCTGTGGCTGCTACAGGAAGCTCCTAAACACTATTAACTTGTAATACATAGGGTAGGCCTAGGTCACAATCAATCGACAATGAGTCAGATCAAATAAAATTTGGTTATGAGGGCAGTGCCGGAGAAAAGTGATGCCTTGGACCAAGTCTGAAAATAACACCACCAAAATATATAAAAGAGTAACGCCACATATAGACAAGAAACAACAATTTTGGCGCAAAGGGTGAGTGCCCACTTTAACTCCCTTCCCATGGCCCTGCTCCTCAGAGTGTGTCTTGAGACATGTCAGGTTAACTGATTCGCTTATCTGGTATCTTTTTGCTTCACACCATTCATTTTTTTTCCCATTCCTAATCACCTTTTCTGGCATATGACAACCATCCAAGACAAACTGCCGACAGACATGAGTGCCCATGATCTTGGAAGAAGAAAATGTGAACTCCGTTCAAACAAAAAGCCAAGAATGTTAAAAATTATAATTCCCACTCGAGAACTTAACAGTTAGTCATACCCCACAATTATTCAACGAAATTCTTCCTACAGACTCATTTTACGAAACGCTCAACCTAGGAATTTCAAGACTAAAATGAAAAAAAAAAAAAAATTTCCAATTATTTGAATCAATAAATAAAATACTGTAGCTTATCTTATCTTTATAACAATTGAGTTTTAAAAGGGCTCAGCCATTGAAAAAGGTTTGGTACCACTGAATCTAATGGAAAACATTGCATCTATAAAATGTCCAAAATAATATATGATGTTTAAGATATGATAAATACTAAAACTGCATTGAGAGAAGAGGTTTTGAGCCATAACAAGATAAGACTTTGTCAACGTCTTATACAATGGTAGGCCCAAGGATAAAACGAATGACACCAACCATGCTAGTCAGTACATTGCAAATACAAGTTATTTGAAGAATGATGTTACAAAGTCTGTCAGTTCAATATTTATTTTAAAAAATTAAAAAATAGAGACCCTAACTATAAACACTTAATAAATGCAAAATACACAATTCACTATAATTTGCTGAAAACATCTTTTTTGAAATATTATACAAGTTACAAGACTTCAGATAGGTAATTATCAATTTCCATAATGTATAAGAACAGATACATACACTTTGACAATTTCATCAATTGCATCTGGTGACAGTTTCGTTGAGGAATGCCTTTCTGCAAAAAATTTGACAGATTTTCTTGGAAGAGCAGTTGGCTTTGCCGTGAGCTTCCTTCTAGGCTTCCTGGTTTTAGGGTCCTCTTGGTTAGCATTGCTGTAGAAATACAGGCCAAATACTCACATCGTTAGCACAACCCTCTTATAATTCCATTTCAAATATAAATAAATTTTGCGTTTAAAACTTGAATGGAAATAACATTTTAAAGTGTTTGAAAAGATGTGTTAATGTTTTCATTTTTAAGGCTATTTGAACTGCGTATTGTCAAATCTGGCCGGTACTGATAACCTTGTATTGACCAATTCTGGCCATTCCGCGCGCTGTTTACAAACTGCTATATAAAAAGTGGTAATCTTGCTATCTTAGTATTTGAATGAAGTTCTTGTGTGAAACAAGACCAAGGGAGCTAACTCCTTTTTTATAATTTTATTCATTATTTTAATACCAGATTCAATTTTTTGTTGCTATGATCACGAGTAGTCATGGAATGTGTCGTAGTTTGACTTTTAAGAATTGATACAGTATTAAAAGCGATGTGAAATAATAAAATACAACACACACAGCAACCAACGGTGAATGCTAATCAATTATTTCATTGAAATATATTTTTCAATACATCTGTTTTAAAATTTTTTTCTAAACCAGTCTACAGTAAAGTTGGAGTTGTTGGTACTAATGATATAATTTCTGCACGCCTAGTATAACTGCCTGGTCAAAACTGAATTTCAAACAAGAAAAAAAAATATATGAACATTATCTAAAGGATGTAAGAGAACTATGGAAATGGAAAGTGTTTTCACCTTGGTTTAGCTCCACCTGAGATTTTGTTTTTAGATTGTCTACGTTGTAGCTGTATGGCAGAAATGTTCTTTCGATTTGTCAAGTTGGAATCTGGCGTAGGCAGGGGAGAGATACCACTAAAAGAAAATGAAAGATAAATAGCTGATATGTTTTGAATCACCATCGGTCGAAAGCTTCAAGGCTGCCCTGGCATCAGCTAGGAGCTGTTAGAATAGCAAAATCATACCCCCAACCGTTGCAAAGATGCCAGTACATGGATGCAGCAACGAAACATTACCAGAACCATGGAGTTTGCATTTTTTTTTTTTTTTAAACTGTGCAATGCATGCATTTTGCTTGAAAACTGCAATTGGCGTTTCAGAAAAATTCAAGGATGACAACTAACAGATCAGTTTAATTTGAAATTCTTTTTAGTCTTATGATGAATTTAGATTTATTGAACTAACATTCCTATTTAATATGAGTTCATCTATTTTTAGATTTAAAAACTCTTTTAAAACCTCCCCTAGTCCACTTTATAAAAAAAAAGAGAAAATGTCCATACCTGGGAAGTTCAGTATATTCTGCTGATTCACTTGGCTGAAAAATATAAAGATACAAATATATTTCATGCCACAAAGATAAGTCATCAATAAATGATTGATGCTATTTAAATCATTTTAGTCTGTTGTTTGGTAGTTGTAACATTTTTCTTTCTTTTCTTACTCTAAGTCAGTGTATTCTCAAACTTTTAACTTTGGTTGAATAAGGTTCCTATTGCAACACAGACCAGTGCTAGATTTATGAATTATTTTTATCTTTTTTTTTTATACCCTAATTAGATCATGAAATATGTTTTAATTCATGATCAGCCAATGGGAGAGCACTCTATTAACTGGCCACAAAACTAAATTCAGAGTTTTTTGTTTAATGTTGTGCCACCTGGCAACGTAGGGCTTGCGGACCAACGCCGGTCCACGGACCACCACTTTGGGGAATGTCAATCAGTTTACTTGTGGTAGTTTTGTTGTGTCGTGACTTGTGTTTAGTGTTGTGCGAGTGAAAAATTGTAACGCTTTCTTTAATCATGAAATGAACCCGCGGACACAAACTAATGCACGATGATTGGAAACAATTGGTGTGCACATTTTGTTAGCGGGAGTCAATAAATTTGTATGATAGTATTGTTACTATCATTTTTTAAAGGAATTTAGTTAGAATATATATATATTTTTAGGTGAAAAAAGATCTCATACTACGTTTTTTATGACAACATATATATGATTTTTAGATATATGTAGTCATTCAAAACACCAGTGATTATTTCTGACTGCCATGCATACGAAGCCAGTAAATAACGAAAGGTGAACTTTAAAACGTCTCATGGTAATTTGAATTTTTACCACACATCAGCCTTGTTGGGGGCTAGGAGAAATAAACATAGTTTTTAAGACACTGACATTGTTTCTGTGGCCATAACGATGGGGGACTATCCTAGACAATGTTCTAGACGGAAAAAGAAAGACTGCCCTAAACGACACCACAAACACATCATTCATGATAACATGTATGTAACACTCATTAATAACTAATCATTCGTGATAACATGTATGTAACACTCATTAATAACTAATCATTCATGATAACATGTATGTAACACTCATTAATAACTAATCATTCGTGATAACATGTATGTAACACTCATTAATAACTAATCATTCGTGATAACATGTATGTAACACTCATTAATAACTAATCATTCGTGATAACATGTATGTAACACTCATTAATAACTAATCATTCATGATAACATGTATGTAACACTCATTAATAACTAACTATTAAAATATTCTATTTTTAAAAATCTCAGCTACTGACCAGTGAGGTGCCCTGTCTGACTTCTTGAGAGTTTTTGTCAACGTCATCTGTATATTAAGAAACACATTTAACTGTATGACATGTAATAGTAATCAAATATTATATTCCTAATGCAAGGAAGTATGATTTCCTACAAGATCGATCAATGCTTTAACCGTAAGCTGAAAGAACTCTACTGATATATCAAATTTCAGATCAAGTTGTTTTCTAAATTTATTCTGCCGGCTTGTAGTTTTGATCAAGTGCTTTCCATACATGCAGTTTTCAATGAAATAGGTGGCCCTGTGGCATAATGGTGGCATTGTCTAGTTCCCAATGGACAAGTAGCATGTTGGACTTTGTCCAAGGTAAATCACTGGGTGAACTGACTCATCCGCCTAATAGGGAAATTATTTATGGAGAACACCGAGAAGGCAAACGCTGAGTAAAAAGTTTCATAATCTAAGTAGAGTAAAAACCAGCCAATGGTTATGGTATTCTAAAAACTGCTAAGTAAGGAGGTACTTTTAATTTCAAGCATTGAGTTTTGAAAGTCAGTACCGTAAGCAGGCAACATAAACCCAGGCATGAGGCAGTGGAAGTAAAACTGACCTAGTTTGAAATCATTTATAATCTATTTTATCACAAAGAGACAACTGAAGGAAGGAAATGAAGGAATAAAAATCATAATCTAAATACTAATTTGGAATTCCCCTCTTGTTTACACTATTTACAGTAATAAACCATAAATTTTCAAATCAATGTGTCTTTACCTTCATTCTGATGCTGAGGATTCGTGACATCAGCAATTTTACTCTTATAATCTTTAGTAACTTCAGACATGCTCTGGTGGTCTTCAGCTTGGGTCATCTGTTCTAGGTTGCCAGTATGGTCTCTAAGTCTGTTATCATCTGTAGAGTGCTCCTTATTTAGTGTTGGCACATCCTGGGGGCCATTTTCATGACTCCTGGTAGCAGCATCAATGACACTGACGTGTTGATTATGTGGAGCTTTTGGAGCACGTTCTTGCAGCTTAACGGAGATGGTGTGTTCTTGATTACTCTGTGCTGAATCAGGTTCACTGTAATTCTCATTCCCAGATGGGGCATCTGATTGATTATAGTCTTGGGCGATGGTGTGTTCTTGATTCCTCTGAGCTGAATCGGGTTCATTGTAATTCTCATTCCCAGAAGGGGCATCTGATTCATTATAGTCTTGATTTCTACCTGCCACCTGTAGAGCTATATCTTCTTGGTTCTTGGACTTGTCGCTGGGCACTTCATCTATTAAATGTTCTTGCACTCCTAGCTCCTTACGATTCTGGAACCTTGTGTCTGGTCGAATAGGAGACAAATCTGTAATGTGAGGTGCTCCAGAATACTCCATAAAATTATTTTCAACCATAGATAAGGATGAAGAGTTAGTCTCGTGCACTTTAGTAGAGTGCAAAAAACCCTTACGTGGCACAGGTGTAGATGACCGCAGGGCATGAGTTACATCAACGGTGATGTTACGACTAGGGGTCATCACCCTGGTGTTAGTTTTATTTTGTTTAGATCTTGTGAAAGGGGAAGCAGGGGGAGAAATCTCATGTGTCTGGTCGGAGGTCAGCTGACTCAAGTTTTTTCTTGATCTTACAAGCGTATTCATGCTACTACTGCTTCTTTTCCTTTTTGGCATTCTTTTCTTAACAGATCCTGTAGTTTTAGAGTTCTGTTCATCCTCACTGGTGCTACCTTCAATGATGTCATAGACACTTGTTGCAGGTTGCTGGGCTGGCAGGTCATCAACAGCTTCAGATGAGGGGTCATTATTTACCCTGCTGGCATGCGAGAGCCCTGAAGATTGTAGCTTCTTCGATGCCGGTGTTGTAACACCAACATGTGGCGCTTCAAGAGTTGACGATCCATGACCAACAGAGACAGAGCCTATAATCGTCCTTTCTACAGCTAGTTCAACCTTCTCTGAATCATTCATTGCTGGCTGATCTGCCTCCTCATCATCAACAGCCACGGATAGGTCGGCAGTCTGGGGCTCTGGTGTGGGAGCAGCAGCAGACATATTTTTTTTATCAGCCAGTTTTTTATGTAGTTGATCAAATTTACCGTTGATTTCAATTCTTTCACTGGTTTTAGAAGAATTTACACCAAGATTACCACTTAAATCTTCATGACCAAGCGGCTGAGACGCTGATTGCCGACTTAATTTATTGGCCGCGTGCGCCTTGGCAGCTTGCTCTAAAATAAACCTCTTTCTTGTTCTAACCCCTGTCGTGTGTTGAAGAACAGATTCCTCATGAGTTACAGGTGTACTGTTGCTGGGAGGAAAAAAAAAGAACAGCAAAATACAGTTTTAAATCCTATGAACAATTTGCATTTCATTTACAACAACCGGAGGATTACACTTCAACAGCAACCCTAACTTCACCTGTGTGAAAATAAGTTTGTTCTGAATAGATGATGCTAAAAAAGATCCAGTTACATTACCTGTGATGGGAGGCATACAGAGGGGACAGAGTCACACGCTGCCCCCAGTCACTCTGCTGCAGTTCTGACAAGTGTGATTTGGAGGCTTGGGGCTTTTCTATACTTTGTGTTCTGTCAGCCTGGGTTGTTTCTACATCTGTTATAATAGGGGGAGATGGCATGGGAGGTAAGTCAAATTCTAAATACACTGAGATTATTGTCCATTTGTTAATTTCTGCAGGTTTTTTCAGGTACCCGGTATCAGATGCAAATTTAATTTTTTAGGTCATGTCTCTTTTCATATTTAAGGATGACCCGGTGAACACATAGAAATTAAACAAAAGCACGGGATAAAATTTTGGTATATGGCAATCACAGTCAATAGACGCAAAGGTAACTGGGTAGTTTATGAAGAATAAACTTGGCAGAAAAAATTGGACAAAAATAGTTGGCATAAACAACAACAAAAAATATGTTAAATTTATCAGTTTTTGAGTAACATACAAATCAAGGTATTTGTTTTATTCAAGTCAAACTATTAAAGAAAAGCATATTCAGATACATTTCAAATCTTTTCCCAGGGTTAGACCTAGCTTGTCAGAGCACTGTTGTTAGACTAAAAATTATATTGGAATTTTATTTTTTTCCTGAAATTTGGCACATAATGTTACTCTTTCTACCTTACCCTTTCTCTACCTGAAGATATCGATAAATCTGGAGAATTTACATATTGAAATTACTCATTTTCTCCTCAGTATGGCAAGACAGTAATATATATAGTGATTAGAGTGCACTAATTTTTCAGTTATAAGGCATGTAAAATAAAACACAGAAACTTGAAGGAAAATAAATATTAAAAATTACCATCCATAAGCAGGTTCCAGATGTTAGTGCGGGGTGTGTACTTGATGCTAGGTGTTGTGGCAGGAGCTGTGGGTAGGGCTTGAGTTTGATTCCTTAATACCATATCTGTTAGCCGTGGCACCTTAAATGTACTGCCTTTTTCAACTGGTGTCAGTGAAAGCTTACTTTTCTTATTGACATGTGTTAGTGACTGTGTTTTGGAATCTGCCAAAAACCCTTGAATCTGTAAATAAATAGGTAACAAATAAATAAATAGGTAACAAATAAATAAATAGCTAACAAAGGAAAAAAAAAAATCAACCAACTTCTTTTAAGTCTGTGTTGTTTTTTTTTTAGCATAATGAAATGCAGATTAAAATTGTAACTGTATATCTTCTGCTTCATTCTATCAGATGTTGACTTCAGCAGCCCTCACAAAGGAGGCCAACATTTTAAGGCTTCCCAAGTGTTCATATAGATTTTCTTTCAATACGGTTTGCTGGAGCTAGAAGCTTTCTATTAGAAAATGTTAATTACTTCCTATAATTAAATAAACATCTAATTAAAACCACCATAATTTCATAATCCTTACCAAAGATCTTGGAGTTTCTTTTTCATTTTGATCTGGTATTAACACAAAAGATTTGCTGGCTGATCTTTCCGGTCTGATCCCATCTGATTTAAGAGGCACAGTTTGAACAGGTGTGCGGAATGAGCGCCTGGATGTAGGCTTTTGACCAGACCCAGGATACTTTCGCTGTTCTCCAATTCTTGAGGAATGACGCTTAACACCACTGCTTGTCCCAGCATCCATCGTGAACACTTTTCTGTGCAGTTGTGACTAATGAAAATGTATTCAGTCTTTGGGAACACTATTTGACTATCTGTTGTTAGACATGATGAGTTAAATAATTCAGTTGTTCTAGTGAATTTAAATACATCTTTTTAACTTCTGGTTTGGGGCCATCCATGAATGATGTCACACCATTTTTTTACATCTACACCCTCCCCCAATATCATCACAAATTTTCAACACAAATTAAGACACTTTTATCACACCCTTCACAACTTTTTTTACTTATGTATGACACCACCCCCACTTCCCTTCCTAAGCCTAAGTGTGGCTTTAGTTTCAGTTAAGTCAATGATTATTGTTGATTATTCAAAAATCTTCTAGAATCTAGCTGCTAATGTTAGGTCAGTAAATTTAATTATTAAAACTAATTAAAATAGGGTCTATTATTTTTTAAAATGTAAAGTAAAAGAAATTATTAAGCACCAAAAGCACTTGCAGTCAGTATTTTTATGAATCTCATTTAGCAAAGTATTAAATACAATATTTCATGATTGTTTAATTTATAGTATAGTTTAAATATTAATATTCCGCATAAGCCGCATAAGTTAAGCATAATTTGAAATTTGTATAGTATAATGGTGCTTTGCCTGCAAGTTTTTAACTTGGTTCCGCCTCCGGTGGCAAAGAAAAATGAAAATTCAAAACAAACCATCTTTCTTACCTCACAAAACTGTAATTTTTTGTCTATTCAACCATTCTTTAAACAAACAAAAGTGAATGTCACATTATGGTCGATGGTACTTGATTAAATAAACCCATGAAGGCCCATTCCTGCTTTCCCTTAAGTATAATAATCAATGAATATACACTTTAATCCATTCTCGCCTTTTAGTAGCCTAAAAATTGACCGCTCAGTCAAACACAAACGTACGAGGTGGCTCCGTTTATTATTTATGTCGATAGTAAGTGTAACCCTTGACTCAAGTCTGTGTTGTTAATAATTATTAGCCAAACCACCGCTACTAATGAAATTTCCAGGTTGCTGTCAAGGTTTATGAGAATACCTGTTGTTAAGGTCGAGCTTTGTCAATTTACGCAAATCAGGGTTAGCTGGGAACAATTTAGAAATCGAAATTGTGCTTTTTTGCCCCCAGGGTGGGGGGGGGGGGTTTGGGCATCCATAAATGTCGTCACACTAACTTTGGGGGTTTTGACCCGCCCCCCCCATCCCCAACAAAAAGTTAGCCCCCCTTCACTTAAAATGAGGGTTAGCGGGGAAAAATTTAGAAATCGAAATTGTGCTTTTTGGCCCCGGGGGGGGGGGGGGGGGGTTTGGGCATCCATAAATGTCGTCACACTAACTTTGCGGATTTTGACCCGCCTCCCCCATCACCAACAAAAAGTTAGACCCCCTTCACTTTCAAAGTATACGGTAACGCAGAAGTAAATGTTTTTTTTCTGGTTAATTTTGTTTGCATATTAATTGTTGTATTGTTTTTTTTTCTCCATTTTATCTAGAAATTTAATTAAATAAATAAAATGACAACAAATAAATATTTTAATTATTTTAATTTTTTTAAAGACTATTAAATTTTTACTGGGTAAGGGTGCGGGAAATGTTTTGAAGTAGAGAGGGGATGCAGCACTGTGAACAGTTTAGGAATCAGTTTAGAATTAGTTTAGAACATAGACTAAAATCCCCCGTCCCCCTAGTCCAACATTATTCGTTCCATATCACTTAAAGTAGTAGCTTGGCGTCATTTATGGATGGCCCCTAAGGAGGAACTGAACTAATGTTCTTTTCTTGCTGAATTCGATACTCTCATTTCTAAGACCGCCATCCTACTCCACCATCATAAGGAGTTTGGCAAACAAGCCGAATATCCGCTTCTTCGGGTGGTATCTTAGCGCCACTTGCACTTTAACCACCGCGGTCCTACTATTCGCATGCAAGGGCCTTTCATCATATACGTGAAATTATACCTTTCCGTGGGTTGGGAAACTTCCTTGCCAAACCATCCTACTGGGGCCCCCATCCCCCCCTCTCCTCCCCCCCCCACGGTCTTGTTGCGGGCAGATCCCGGGCTCGAGCCGATGTTATGTTTCTAGGGAAAGGCGAGTGTCTTACCAGCCCAATTCCAGCTCGTTAGGCTGCAGTAGAGGTGTAACTGCCTCTGTCCAACTGATCCACCCCGAGGTTCACCTCATTTGGTCCGCTGGCGCTTTTTGGTTATGTTCGTTTGTAACCAGTGCACACTGCCAAGATGCACCAAGGCTGTTCTGTCATCCGCCTTCTGTTGAGTCGTGGTGTTTTGGTTCTGACTCCGGAGGCTACACCCTCGAGTACATCAAACCAGCATTGCTCTTGCTAAGAATACACCGTGTAGGTCCGGGAGGGGGGTGGGTCCGAAATAGGAAATAGTTGTTTTTTTTTTGTTTTTGTTTTTTTTTGGGGGGGGGGAACTGTGATACCATGAGGTTACAACACTGGGGGACACCAGCCCTAGTGATGCCTCTGAACGATTATTTCTGGGAGTAGCCCAGTAGTTGATATACAGTACCCAGATATGTGTGGCTAGACAAGTGGAAGTTAGTTCATGTTTGTCTTCGTTATATAAGATGATGTTAGTAAGTCCCCAAAACGGTTGCTGTGTATTATATTGATATTAATTTTATTATATTGATGTCTTGTCAGTACCATGAATAAAGATTAACAGTATTATTTTATGACGTGTTGCTGCCCCTAGTATTTGTTATGCACGAGTGCTGCTATATCATATGTTGTTATATTTGAGCCCACTCAACGGTGCCAGTAGTAGCTAAACGTGAAGTTGAAAATTGAAAGGGCTAATGAGAAGACCAGAAAACCAGTATTTCGCCAGTCGCCAGGATCTGATAGGTAATTTTTACAGTCGCATTTTAAAACGTAAAAAAACCCAACTATTTAAAATATATTATATCAAGTTAAAAGAAAAAAAGCATCCAATTTATTGGTATACTACCGTATACATAGGACCCAGGTCTTTAAAAAAATTAGTATGTTATGATACTGATAATCATGTTCTTAAAATGACTACAAAACTGCTTAGACTGTTGTCTAGCCAAAAACTAAGACAGTATCATTTGTAAATTCCAAAACAAAACAAGATGAGTCGCTCTGGAGCAGAAATCCATCGCAGGTTTGAATTTTAATATTTATGTTCCACCCAAAGGACTAGCTTCTAAAACAATTTAACCCAATAATTATATAATGGAGAAGACCATGTATTCTCACTTCCTTATTACTGACTCAAGATCGTCAATTTTGATAAAAGAAATAGTCATGAAAATGAAAACAAGCCTCAACTCGACAACTCATTCTCATTCAATCACTCATTCTCATTCATATTTATTCTTTTAAATACTACTACAACTCATAGTAAAAATACACAAATACTATTATTAATATTACTATTAGGCCTAATTTAAGTAGCCTATTTTAAGTCCTACTTGAAAAGCCGCTTATCTGTCACATAGACTTAGTCCGCTTAGAAGACTTAGACTTAGTCACTAGTTAGTTGTAGACTTAATTTTAATTTAATGCTAGGCGCTAGGACTATCGTCTATCGGTCTAATCTAGATTTTTAGTGGACTGTATGTCATCACTCTAGACTACAATGACAACATACAGTCCACTAAACTGGTAGTCATAGTCCACAGTGTAGAAAGGGAATAGCTCAAATAATACTAACATTCAACCTAATTTTTTTTTAAATGTCTCAAGGAGAGAAGGCCAGAATTATTGGGATTTGGCTGGCATTGAAAGAGACGGTTGTAGACATTTTCTTGTTAAATTTCCAGACCGACATACAATCACTTTACAGAAGCGATAGAGAGATATATTCTAACACTAATATGTTCACATAATTGTCTAGGGCAGATGGGCAGCTTATGCAAGCATAAATCAGATCAAACAAAGATACTACTAATTCTCTGTTATGGTGCATAAACAAAACTTTGTTGATCCAGATGTCGTTGTCACTGATATCCATAACCTAAAGTAGAAAATATCACATGGATGTGCACAAAGTGGAAACTGAAAAGACAGTTTGGCACCAGCTGTGCTCCTTTCACTTCTTATTCCCTTCATTGTTAACCTGGTGGGAAAACTATGATAAACTCAATCTCTGTTTGCTTACATAAAATATTCTTTTAATACTGTAAAATGTTTAAGTTTAAAAATGCCTTGGTAAGAATATTTATCTATGTGCTGAAATGACTATGTTCAATATCATTAAAAATATTTTCATTTATTTAAATAAATAAAAGAAATTTATCTTATCAATAAAAGAATAACCGATAAAATAGCACTTCAATCCAGAAAACAAGATTTTTGAATAGCAAACGCTGAAGTTTAAGAATACCCAAGGCTAGGTCTAGATCTTGGTGGGTAAATTCATACATACCAACATGGTAAATTAAAACCTGTTGGCCTACACTAGTTCCCCCTAAAATCTGCACACAAACATGAAAACCTAAAGGCCTACCTTAAAAATGAAATGTAGAAATATTAATCATTTTCCAATGTTATTACTTTTTATTTTTCAATTAATAATTACTCTTAATGGTCTTATGCATAGATACAATTATTGCCCCTTTTACAATGTCTGGATTTGTTTGAAATCCCAAACAACAAGTAACATTGTTTATTTTACACTGTATTTGATATGACTATTTCACCTTTATTATTTATTTGTAAGTTTAAGACTAAATAGCAGTAGAATTTCCCTTCATCGTCCCAATGTATTGTTTGTGCAACTTTGATTTTAAATACCGTTTGTTAATAGTTTTTTATCTTAAGAGCCTGAGGGGTCGTTTGCAAATTACGTCATGCAAAAAATGACCTTTTCAGATCACCCTCCCCCCGTCACAAAGTGTCAGAAATTCTTCTTTACACCACTCCCCCCTCAGTGTCACGTCACACCTAAAAAAATTCAAAACATACATACATTTTATAACTAAACTAACATTTTATAATATTCTTGAACATTTTCCTGTAACGGATTAAGATGTAGTATTATTATATAACTGTGACGTAAAACAACAAAGTCCTCCCCGAGCCGAATGTGAAATGGCCACAACAGTTTTTGCATCATTTTCTATATGCGCAGAATGCGTGACGGAGTTTCACGGTACTTAATTATACCTGAGGCAATTTGAACCTTACATTAAAGTTTTTAAAATTAATTGAATAACGATTTTTCAAAATTAGAACATTTTTGATTAAAAAAATAATAAATTGTGACATCACAAATTTTTTACCCCCTCCCCCCCATCACAAAGTGTCACAAATTGTCTCACATCCCCCTCCCCTCTGAGCATGATATAATTTGCGAACGCCCCCTGAAACAAGCACTCAAATGTCTTTTGCAAAATGCAGGATTATTTTAGGATGTTTGGTCACCCACTTACTTCGAAACTTCCTTAGAGAGCGTGTCTAATTCCAACTTTATGTTTTTGAAATTAGGTTCTGTCATTTTATTGACAGCATTGAGATGAAACAATACAAATGTAAATTAGAATAATAAACAATTCTCACTCATGTCAGCTCTAAATAGTTTAGTTGTAGAAAGTGATAACACGTTTTTTGACGTTTGTAAACTAAACCATGGCATAATAAATCTATTAGGATTATTGTTTGGGATAAAATTATATTAAAAGATATAGAAATTAAATTATAATGGCCACTTTAGTTCTTGCTAAGAACTAAACTAACAGATATTTGATTATGGTTTACAACAAACTGAAATATTCTCAAAGTATGGTAGTAGTACTTCACTGTCTATTCCCAAATATGTAACTACTTATCCCCGAAGGACAGCTCCCAGATTCTATTTAGACTTGACCTCATAGACAGCTTACCAATCCCAAAGGTCACTTAATGGACTAACTTTGAATTTCTTGTAAGATATAAACAAACGAAAATGGCTGCCCTTTTGTAACATGTGGATTTTTCTCTTCTAAATCTATTCAAAACCTTACAAAACGGTGTTCAGCTGTACACGTCAGGAAACATAAGCTGCATCATTTGGCATGTTTTGGTATATTTGTTACATCTCAGGTTCCCTACTTTTTTTTTTAACGCGACCCAATTTTAAAAAAGCAAAGTGACCAGTTTATAAAAATTAAAACATAAGAGAAAACAAATTAGAAAATTAGATGCAGTGTTATCAGCTTCTTCAAACTTTATTAGAATCCAATAAAAACTGAAGATTTCTTTAAAATAATTTATTTTTTAGTTACTGTTTCAGTTGGCAATCCCAGTGAAAAACCTCTGCAACCCCATTTTGTTTCGCAACCCATGGGTTGGGAACCATGGGGTTAGTTAATTTTAAAATTGTATTTTAAAATTTTCTTATTTAAGCTGGTTTGTTCTTTTAAGATAAAAAAAACAGATGGTTCTTTTTATGCTTTAAGGGAGTTACTCTGTTAACTCTCTTTTATGAGTTTTACTGTTGAAATAATTTTTTTTAAAATTCACAGTAAATTGAGTAGCATTTTTTATGTTTTAATTTGCACTGAAGCACTATCATTTGTTTGGCATCCATCAATAAAATGAAAAAAATATTTTGCCATCGACAGTGAAAAACAGTCTAAAGTAATACAGGATCGAATCACACACATAGAACAGCACCTTGGTCAATTATGTGATATTGCTTCTTCATACACCCGCAAAACGGCAAGGCTACGAGACAAAGGTAATTTGCTTGATCTATCCTGACAATGTTAAAAAAGCTGTTCATGAACTTTTGAGTTTAAAATAAACAGAAGTTATTGTAAAGCTTACCAAAATAGTGAAAATGTTCGCAGAAGCATAGAAAATTAGGGAACAGTAAATAGAAGGGGGAAAAACGACTATATAAAAATAAGATACAATAAAGAAGAAAAATATGAAGTTTTTAATAGAACGTAAGTATTTTTTTAGTAACATAAATGAGATGTCTACATTTAAAGTAAATTTTTAAAAATTATTTAATCCTATCCTGTACATTATGACATACTACTTTATGATTGACATACACACACCTCACAGCTTTATGATTGACATTCACACACCTCACAGCTTTATGATTGACATACACACACCTCACAGCTTTATGATTGACATACACACACCTCACAGCTTTATGCTTGACATACACACACCTCACAGCTTTATGATTGACATACACACACCTCACAGCTTTATGATTGACATACACACACCTCACAGTGGCCTTACACTTATACACACCTCACAACAGCATGCATTTTCTTTTGAAAAATTTCTATGGATAAGTCTTTCAGTTTGCCTTTTCAATCTTTGTTAATAAGACTTTCCGAAGATTTTAGTCCAGCCTTCAACTTAACTAAGTTGTTCTTAGCAGTAAAGTAATCATCATTATTTAGTTTAGTCAGTTCAATTTATTCTTTTTTTTATTTCAAATGGCATGCTGTAGGTGACATGCTAGCCAAGGAGCTGATGGAGTTTTCCGAGTATGAGAAATGGAATCCAACGCTGAGCACTGGGATGACCAAGTTTGCAGAGAGCTTATCAGCTGTTCAGGACTACAGGGAGGCAGAGGTGAGCTATTGGTGCTTTCTAGAATGGTTATTGCTATTACTTAGTTTTTATAAAAGTTTTTTTGACATATTTATAAATAGGTATAGTTATGAGAAGAAAAAAATATGTGAATATTTCATTAAGAAATTTATTCTAAATAGATTTTAGTTTTTAAGAAGAGAATTATTCTAAGTAGATTTTGTTAAAAGAGTTTGTTATAATTTTGATTTTAGGTCAAAAGATTGGAGGGAAAAATCCTGTCCCCTTTAGTGAACTACGGCCTTCTGTGTAAGCAGACAAAGGTATTGTGCAAAAAATTTTGTACCTGTCACTTTACTTAGAAGTTGGTTAAGCTGCTGTTTATCTTTTTATTAAATTAGCTAAATAAAATATTTATATTTTATTCAAAGAGGCATGTTGAGATAAAGAATATACATATAAATTAAAGATGAACAAACTTTTTTAAAAAAGTGTTCAAAAAAAAATTACACATTTTAAAATTTTACCATCATATGTGAACACTTTCATTTTTATTGTGTTTTTATTGATTCTTACTTGGTTTTAATTCAAGTACCTTAGACATGATGTAGTTTTTATTATTAAAGAATATCTATTTTTAAGTTAAACGTCTAGATTTTCATTTAGTGATGTTAACGTCCACGCTGAAATTTTAGATAAGAAAAAGATATAGCTTCATTAATTAGTTAGTAGTTACATGATAAATTTCATTTTACTTTATTTTGTTGTTTTTTTGTGGGATCTTATCTACTCAATCCATTACTTTATTTTTACACTATGAATTGAAAACTTACTTCCTGTGAATTTATCTACTCAATCCATTACATTATGTTTTACATTATGAATTTAAAAAATTACTTCTTGTGAATTTTTAAATTTAAAAGTAAACAAAAAACTTTTCAGTTTTGAAGCTCATTTTTTTTTTTTTTTTTTTTTTTTGGTATTAATTTTTTAATTTTTATTTATTTTTTTTTTTTTTTTTTTTTTTTTTTTTTTTTTTTGGTAATAATCTATTAAATTGTAATTATTATATTTATTTTCTACAACTTTCTGCATTAATTCCATAATTGTGAATGGTAAATACTACATTCTAGTGTATAAATAATTTTGGCCATGCACAATGATGTCAACTGAACTTAATTTATAATCCACAATAGATGAGCTCTAAGGGTTATACAAATTGTGGAGATGATTTTGAATTAGAAAATAATTCAAACAGTTTTTCTTTGTTGGTTTATTTCAGAATGATTTGAAATCTGCTTTTGCTGCTATTGATGCAGAAGTTAACCAGAAGAAGAAGCTAGAAGCCACCAGGACTAAAAGTCCGGGGGATAGACAGAAGATTGTATCCTTTTGATCAATCTGTTATCTGAAACTTGTTTTGAAAGCTAGATTTTCATGCTCCTGCTGCTTAACAAAATAGAAACAGGTTTTCAATACACAAGCTTCTATTATTCACTTGACACTCACAAATTTCTGATATTCACTTCACACTCCCACTTCTGGTATTCACTTTGCACTTTCACTTCTGGTATTCACTTCACACTCCCACTTCTGGTATTCACTTAACACGTTCACTTCTGGTATTCACTTCACACTCCCACTTCTGGTATTAACTTTACACGTTCACTTCTGGTATCCATTTTACACGTTCACTTCTGGTACCTATTCACTTTACACTTTCACTTCTGATGCCGTATCCACTTTTCACTTCTTGTACCATATTAAGTTTACACTTTCACTTCTTGTACCATATTCACTTTATACGTTCACTTCTGGTATTCACTTTACACTTTCACTTCTGGTATTCATTTTACACTTGCAAATTTCTGGTATTCACTTTACAGTCTCACTTCTGGTATCTAATGGGTAATACAGTAAAAGAAAATTTTTTTATGAAGTAAAGTGTAAGATCAAACCTTCATCTCCAAACTAAATTCTAAACATTTTTTGTTGTTGCTTGTCTGCATGTTTAATGTCACATTATTAAATCAGAGTATCAGAATAGTAATTTAATTCAAAGTAGTTTTTGTGTTGTTTTTTTTAAAATCCTTAATCTCATGAAAACATTTTCCTTGACTTGCTAACAGGCACAGGTAAACAAGTACACTGGAAACATATGCTTGGTGATACAACATGTGGACAAAATTTACTCTGTGCAGAGAGACAGCATGAGGGATATTTAAAACAAATTTTAATTTTTATTGATTCATTTTTTATTCAGACCAATTTAACAAGAGCAAATAAAATTTGAAAAAATGCCATTTCCATTAGCTTAGCCCAAGCTAAATTGTTATAAAGATATATTATGTTGTGAGACACAGTTGTAATCCTTTGTTACGTAGGAGATGTAATCTCCCATAGAGTGTTAGCCCATTGTTTCTTAAACTAAGAGTTATAATTAGTTTTTAATCCATGTTTTTTCTCACTTAAAACTTAAAGCTGGAAAACACACTTCAGAGAGTCAGTTTGGAAGCTTCACGCAGCAGTAAGGGCCTGGAGCAACAAGTGGACAAGTTTGAGGAAAAAAAACTTAAAGACTTAAAGGTGCGTTCTTCAGGTTTATCTGTTTCAGACAATATTATAATATCCCATCTTGGCTTAACTCTTTTCATACCATCGAAACCTAAATGTAAATTTGTATTAATCCAGTGAATTATTATAGATTGCCCTCTAATATGACTCCATGACTAAATTCGCCTTATGACCATGCCCATTCCCGGCTGTCCTTGACATTCTGACCAGCCCAAATTTCCAGATGTTCTGACTTCCTTTACTTCACAACTTCATACACACAAAATATATTAAATGTTTTAGATGTAATAAAATTGCCTGTTTAGCTATGCCTGCTTTAATATTGTTCAATGTAATTAAAAATTAAAATGCAATTATAAATATGCATTAAACTTAGTTTGTTCTTTTTTCCAGAAAATATTTCGAGATTTCGTCACTATTGAGATGCATTTTCATGCCAAAGCCTTGGAACTTTATACACAATGTTTCCAGACATTAGACAGTATAGACCCAGATGCCGATTTAGAAGTGAGCAATTAGAAAATAACTTCCTTTTTTTTTTTAAAGTGAGAGACCTCTTGTCATAAATGATATTTGGAACAGGGAAATGCTTTTTTCAAATTCAAAGTTTCTTTTGTTGTTGTTGAGATCATGAAAATCAGATCAGCTTAAATGTTTCTCCAAAAAGCATATGCTAATTGTTTTGTCAATAATGCTTTTTGCGATTTTTTTTTTTTGCCATGTTCAGGAATTCCGTCACCAGCTTAGACCCAATGGATCTATCAGGACAGACATTGCCCGGTCAGCATCTCAGGCGTCACTGGATTCAAGGAGAAGCTCATCGGCAAGCACCACACCCCAGAAACCTCCTTCTAAAGACACAACTCCAACAGGCACTAGGAAAAAGATACCTGTGCCGCAGCCTCAGGTTTGGGTATTTTTCTTTAGCAGCATCGTGTTGAACAGATTTGTTGAATGGATCTAGGGGGATACATTTAGTAAAATATCCCCCACTTTGGGGCGATAGTTAAATTAATGACAGCACACGATACCAACATCTGATATTGACATCTAAGTTACTACAGTCGTATAATGATATTTTCCAAATAAATGAAGTCCTGGGAAGATGGTATTATGTCATCAGGTTGTTTCTCAAAGAACATCCTCCTATCAAATTTTTATCTTATTTCAGGAATTGGACGATGACAGTGATGAGGATGACGACGACGATGATGATGATGATGAGGATGATGATGACTCGGGGGAAGAGGAGTCAGAAGAAGAGACAATTAACAATCCGCCCCCTAAGAAAAGATAATGACACTTGGTTCTCTCATTTGATTGTAAATCAGTTTATAAGAAGCTAAATTTTTGTTTCTTCACTTTACAGCTTTAGATCCCGATTTCTCTTCTCAAACATGCCATTTCTTTATTCCTTGTTAAGTTTTGTACACTAATGTATTGGAATAAAGCAGGAAGCTTAGAGCTCAGAGCATGGTCTGTTTTCAGTGGGAGGCGGGCAGAACAGAAGCAGTATTTTTGGGAGGCTGCCCCCAAGATCTAGCTTCTTTGTGTCATTAAATTTAGAAAGTAAATTCTGTCATTTTAACACTTAAAAGAATGTTTAAGTTTAATCTAAAAAAAATAAAAATAAAAAAATGATTTGCTCACTAAAAGATTTTTTGGTATGTGTTAATATTGATCAGGAAGAACATTAGATATTAGAGCCTTTGGTAATAACCTCTAATGCTCAATTCATACAATCAAATTTTCATTATAATTGCGTCAAATTTCTTTTTGAGCGCACTATTTAGCAAACCAAATTTGACAAGAAAGCGATAGTGTAAAATGAGCATTAATCTGTCAATGAAACATATCACTTTCACTCATGCAGGTTCGGATTTTTTTTTTTTTTTTTGTAATGCAATATCTCTTGTTTTATTTGTAACCCCCATTTTATAAAAAAACAAAAACTCTGCCATCTGTGATAATTAAAATATAGTCTGTCAACCTAGATGGAGTTTATGTCCAGTTGATCAAGTCAAATGCTGTTAACAGATAGGAAATATTTTTATAATAACATGTTCCAAGTTGATAATCCTTCAAGCATTTTTTGTCTAACCTGTGAAGGAAAATTTATGTTAATTAAAACACCATAATCTTTACATCAATAATGTAAGCACCGTCCAATTTATGCCTTGATAACTTTTGAAATGTTTATGTTTTTGTACTTGTGTATTCAAAGCTATTTAGTGTCACAATGTTCTGAAAGGAATCATACATCAACTGGGGATGTTGAAAAAAATTCATTGCATTTTATACATTTCTTCTTCATAAATACTTGTGTATGTTTTGTCTTATAAGTGTGTACTTTATTATGTTTATAATCACATGCATGTAAATAAAGTAAAAAATTCATTTTAAACCCTTTCTATTGAGGGATAACATTGTATGATAAGTAGTATGATAAGTAGTATGTTAAGAATTATTTAACCACTTAGTTGATCGGCTAAAGTACCTTGGGCATTGGCTGTTTGGAAAATGTCAGGGTGTATTAATATCTCTTTTTGCTTGTCAAGTAATTTGTTTCTCAAATAAGAATTTCTTTGTCATGTGTATTGTTAATTTTCTATGGAGCACTTTGGATTTTTGATAGATCAAAGGGGCCATCATGAAAAATTTTTGGAAAATTATCAGCATGAGATTTGTGGTACCATTACGGTTTAGGTATGAAATAAACATGATCATGTTGGATAGATTGTTAAGCACCAATAACAAAATTACTGGGGATTTTAAGTTGCAATTAAAACACCAATATGTTAACTCGTAAAAATTGCATTCACTCAGTCAATACCCATTCTTAAGCTAAAATCTACAAGTGCTTTATACCCACCCCCAAATCTTGCACAGAAATGATATAACATGTTCAATTACATATTCTGCAGACCTGGGGAAGGGTTGGGGAGGTTGCCTTTGTTTATAAAACTGAATCTCTCCCCCCCCCCCCCCCCCCCCATAAATTAATTTTGAAAAGACATGCAGTGAATATGTCACGTTGATAAGTTTGACCTGTACTTTCCTTTGTGACTCCTCCATCCATCATTGCATCAAATATTTTTTTAAAACTATTTTTAAATTAAATTAATTGTACACTCATCATTACAAAAGTCCTACTAGCTCATTTAATCTCTTAAACTTTTATTGATTTTAAGTCTTAATAAATACTGTTTTGGAATATGTATTCTTAGAATCTCATTTGGTTTTCAAAGCAGTTAGTACAAAGTGATGTGTATGTCAGGAATGAATGTCCCTAATAACTTAGTTATTATCATTGAAATAATAGACTTTTCAAAGTTATTTTTTGTACAGCTTAGCACTATTTACCAAGTACTTATTACCTACTACTTTTTAACAAGTACTATTTACCAAGTACTTTTATGGTGAACAAAAAAAATTGAAAAGGAACAAAACATAAATTAATAATTTTCAATCAGTCAGATCTGAGATTTTGAATTAAATATTAACGAGCTATGATTTTTTTTAAAAGGCTTGTGATGAAAAGTTCTTTTTATTATTTGATAAACTACAAGAACTCCAACTCAAAGTAGAAATTATTACAAATGAATTGTGTATGCTTGTTCTACTGCAGCTGGTAGAAGCATTCATTAAGACATTAACCCACTTTACTGCAACCACTACCATTTGAAAATGGCATCTTGGCAGTTATCAACACAAAGTAACTAACCTTGCTTGTGTGAATTACACCATCTAAAATACAGATTTACAACAACAAAAAAACAACAGAATAACTAGGTTTAATCACATTTAACTTGCCATTTATCAAACATCACTTTTCATGATTATTTGTGTACTAGAGTAATAGACATGGCTACGAATCAGTCTTATGTTGTACCAAATACTTCCCTGTAAGCCTCTTTATTTATTGTAATCACTACTTTTTTTATTCACTAGCTTTTATGTATCGACAATTTATTGTTGGATTTTGAATTGTTCATTGAATGTCTCTGCTACACTGGACATGTGTTTGCTTTGACTTAGCATTGTGAGGGACTTCCAAAAAGAAAAAAATTAAACTATTTAAACTAACACTATGTTTTTGCTTTTTTTTTTTTTTTGGAAAAATGTTGTGAGATAAATCCTTGTTTTTTTCACGAGAAATAGTGGGCTAAGTGAGTTGCTAAGAAGCAGATAACTATGATCATGATGGGGATAACAATGACCATATAATTAAAAATTTTTTTTTTTTTTTTTTTTTTTGTTTTTTTTTTTTTTTTTTTTTTTTTTTTTTTTTTTTTTTTTTTTTTTTTTTTTTTTTTTTTTTTTTTTTTTTGGAAAAATGTTGTGAGATAAATCCTTGTTTTTGTCACGAGAAATAGTGGGCTAAGTGAGTTGCTAAGAAGCAGATAACTATGATCATGATGGGGATAACAATGACCATATAATTAAAATCCTACATATTCCTCTCTTGGAGTTACAAAGTGCAGGTTTAAAATAAAATGTTAAAAACAAATTTGTTGGTATTATAGCTTTTAATTAGAATTAAGATTTTAACAAGTTTTGAATTAGGAGTTAAATCTAACTACATATTGAATATTTATTTTTAAAAAAAGCTAATTGTAATTGAACAAAAATAGCTGAAGCTATAAAATGTATGAAACATGGAGCAGAGGCGTAGCGAGAGTGTTTGGGGATAAGATTCGCGCCCAAGGACAAAATTTATTTTAAAACCCCCTTTTTCCTTTTTTCAACTCAACAAACCCATTATTTTCATCAATAAAATAATATCAAAGCACATTTTGGCACCCCTATCTAGCTGGCTTTTGGGGACATCTGCCCTCCCTTCGCTAAGCCTCTGATTTGGAGATACCAGATCAATTTTTAAAAAATTTTTTTTTAATGATTATATACTATAAATATGCCAAAAAATCAAATAAGGTTAGCTATATTTCGGTATTAGGATTCATCTTACTCTTAGACTTATAGCTTTAATAAAAACAAAGAATCTTGCCTTTTATTTAATTCTTATGCCGTAGCATCTAAACTCATACTCATACGTCTTAAGCCTAAACTTAAATGATAGGGCTAGAGAACATTTTTTTTTTAAACTTACTAAACTTATTATTTTAATTAACTGATGTCTCGACAATGTTATCTCTGGGTATTTAGTACACACACTGAGAAATGTTATGTTTTTTAAGAATAGCTCTTTTTGAAAAAAGTATAATTAATTTCATAGTGTGAAGTTGACATTAGTAAGTTGTTTTGGGAGGATTGTCCGGAAGACTGAGCTTTTTACTCGGTTTAGTATATGGGACGGACTTATCTAATAATTACTGTCATAAATATACAATGACACACTGTCTATACTATATCTATCAGTATCTTCTTCCATGTCCATACTATCCCCCTTTTATAGGCTACCTACCTCTGTGGACTAGCCAACTTAGAGTTATCATCAACTTAAATTTAAATACTTACTAACTAGTTTAGTAGTGGCCCAGTGAGCCAATTCAATATTATAATAATATAATATTAATGATTATTATCGTCATTTCATTTTCGTTATTAATTATCTTTTGATGATTATATATTAAGTTAGTTAATTACAGTTAAGTTAGTTAGTACCTTAGTTAGTTAGTAGCTAAAGTAAAGTCTGAAACTGAAGTAAATTGCCACTCACAGCCGAAAATACAGCAGTAACTCAGGAACATTTTAACCTATTAATACTATTGTACTATTTTTATCCTTTGCGAAGACATCAAAATTTACTGACCTTTGTAAAATTTTCATATTTGATTGCATAGTGTAACTGTAACTTATTAGAAAAGTAGTCTGTAAAACCAGGGAGCATGCGACACTGTGGAAAGCATTTACCCCCATGGCATGCCATTTCTTATAATCAGGGACAGTGTTTCCCTTTAGTATTTTAAAAAATTGAAAAAATCTCTTTCCCTTATGTCGTTTTGATAAAGATCTCAGATCAATAAATTAAATCCTCTAATTAGGCCTACATGCTAAAGGACTTTGTAACCATTGGGATTAAAGATGAAAGTAACTACTAAAACTGTTAAAAGTAGCCCCCCCCCCACCCTTTCCACCCCATCCCAAAAAAATAAAAATAACATGTACTCATACTAGCTAATTGCAGCCTGAATTTATACTTTACCTTGTACAGTGTCACAGGACTAAAGAAAACGTTTAAAAAATTAAAAGTGGGGCAATGCTCATTCTCCCACTTGTTTCATTTCAAACCAGTTACACTGTGAAATTCAGTCATCTCCCACTTCGACCATGCTGTGTAGACCTATGTTATATTTAAAGAGATATTTTTTAAAATAAAAAAATAAAATGACAAATTTTTTGTAGCCTATACCTGGATAATTTTTTTTTAAATTTCATGAATTTAAGAATTTAATTTTAATGTTTTAGCAGACAGCTGATAAAAGGATTATTCTACATACTGTTACAGGTGGAAAATTGGTCCAAATGATCAGTGAAATGTATCCTCTAAAACAATTGGTGCCTAACTACTGATATGTCAAATTCAATTTTGAAGACGTAAGCCCGACAGTGCAATGGTTAATCTTTGTTGCGCTATACAAACTCTACACAAGAACCTAAGACCTTGAAAAACAATCCTCAGTATTATAAGTCTTAGCAACAACACTAAGGATGGGAAATGGTATGAACAAGGTAAGCAGACTTGCACCCATCTATACTTTGAGTGCTATGAATATAGTTTTAGAGAATTAGAACATTGTTTATTAAAAAATATATTGTTAATCTGTATTATGAAATTGTGTTTACTTGCATACAGATATTGCCTGGTCTTTACATCGGCAACTTCAGAGATGCCAAGGACAACAAGCAGCTGAATGACAATAACATCACCCACATTGTTGCCGTTCATGACAATGCCAAGAAAATAATTGAGGTACACTGATTGTATGTTAAACTTGCTGTACACCTCTGGTAAACTTGCTCTCCTAAAAACTTATATTACAGCAACTTCTTAGCTTTGTAACATTTTTTTAAATCATGGAAACAGTAATGATATAACAGGCCCCAATATATATATAATCTAACACCTACTTGCAGGAGTTCTCTTAGAATGTGGAAAAATCCATAAAAAATATCAGTTTATCACAATCTATCATTTTAAAAAATAATTAATTACATTTAAGCAGATCAAATTTTAAGTAAGACAGGTCACTAACTTTTAAGTAGAAATTGAAATATAACACCTCAAACCTTATATGGTATATATATTTGCTTTGAAGATTGTGTGTTAAATAAAATGTTATGCACATTTCATAACAAAATATGAACCACCCAAATTAAAACAAACTGAAGTTTTACATATTTCTAGTTTTGGTTGTGACTGTCTTTGATCAGGACAAAGAGTACCTGTGTATACTAGCCAGTGACTCGCCTGACCAGGATCTGACCAAGTACTTCCCTCAGGTGATCAAGTTTATTCATAAAGCCAGGCTTGAAGGTGGCTCTGTCTTAGTGCATTGGTAAGTTGTCTGGGGAATTTTTCTTTATTTATTAATACCCATGGAAATGACTGATCATGCAAAAGCCGATCATACAGAGCAGAGATGAGAAGCAGCTGTAGTTTGTAACTCATAAAATGTATTGTTTTTTTAAATCCTTTATATTAACTTTGCTTTGTTTGTGTGTTTCTGTGTTGAAGGCAAAATCTTCGGAAGGCTAATTGACCCACTTTCTGTCATCATACCAAACTGAAACTTGGCATATACTCATTGCTGATGACAACACAATCTTTCAAATTTTAATTCCCCCCCCCCCACCCCATCCCCCACTCCACCCCTAAAAATAACTGCTTCTTAATAAGTGATTAGCCACATAAAATGACATAAATGCAAAAAAAAATGCATATAACGGATTTATCTGAAAGACTTTTGATTGTGTTAAAAAAACCCACTGATTGAAACAGGCATTTTGCCGGATCCTGGAATAGAGTCGACGATGTTCGCATGAACCTTGCTGTGTGGCAGAGGAACACATACAATAGCAACACCGAATAATAGTCGCCTCACCCTAAAGAAAAAATGTCAACCTTTTTACCCGGGTTCAACCTTCAAGCATGGCGCTTTCAAGCATGACAGCTTTTTTTTTTTCACTCATTACTATTAAAATAAAACATGTTGAGTAAGGGAGGGTCGGTTGTGAAAAGGAAGCAGGACACACTAGAGGCAAAATTCTAAACTAGAGATTTATCTATTTATTTTTGTATACTGAATTATTGAGGAATTCTTCATTGGTAAGATTGGGAATAGAAAGTAGGGATATCATAATAAGGGAAAATTCCTGTTAAAAGCTGGACAAAAAAAAGTCAGAGATCAAAAACATTTTTAAAATATTAATTAATTCTTAAATGAAATGTAGATAAAAATGTAACATTTTTAAATGGATGTTAAGTCATTATTTCCACAATTCCATCCAGCCTAGCTGGTGTATCCAGAAGTGTGACACTGACAGCTGCCTACATCATGACTGTGACAGACCTGGGCTGGAGGGACTCACTTAATGCCATACGTGGGGCTCGCAGTGTGGCCAATCCTAATTTCGGCTTCCAGAAACAACTGCAGAATTATGAAAATGAACATTTAGAAGAGGTACTAATTCAAAGAATTTTAGGGTTTAGCAATTTAGTTTCTAACATCCCCTCCCACTTTTCTTTTGTGTGTGTGTGTGTCTTCTCTTGAAGAAACAATAATTCACATCACCAGCATAAGAACAGATAAAATACTTACTAAAAAATAACATCTGTTATTTACTATTAGCTTAAATGTATGTGGAATATAAGCAGTTGATATTGAAAAAGTAGAATGTTTCACTGCAGGTCTGTATTTATAATCCAGATGTGACTGGTATTCCAAAACCTTGAGATTTTGATTAAAGCTTTTATTTAAATTTTTTTTTTTTTTTTTCAGGAAAGGAAGAAGCTGAAAGCAATGTTCCCAACTAATCCCTTTAACGATGAGGAAGAATGCCGCATAAATCTCCACTGCTTTCAAGAGTACATCATGACGGGAACACTGCCGTCTCGGTCTAATGACCTCTACCCCTTGCCACACAGAGCGTATCAAGGACAGGTAAAAAAGGAAGAACTCAAGAAGAGTCAATTAGAAAAGGTAGACAATAGCATTTCTCGGAGCCTGCACCGCCACAACCGTGTTCGCCGGAAGCATGCAATAGGCAAACTAGTGGATAAAATAGATGCAAGTATTTCAGAGATTTGAGAGCATTTTTTCGATGCTCCCACTATCTGCATGCAGCCATTGTAAACCCCCTTTTCTCTTGATGTGTTTATTTGTATATGGCATGGTGCGTCTAGTGGTAAGCATAAGCTATTCATTTTTTTTTTTAAATTGTGACGTTCAAAATATCTCCGCATAGTTTTATAAAACTTCATATTAAATGATAAAACACTTCCAGAAGGATCTTAAAAAAGGTCTAAATGGTTCCTGAAATTAAAATTTGGTTTTTTTTTTTTTTTGCTTCTTATTAATCTTATCAATGACCTTTCTAATGTTGGTGTATTTTTTTTTTTTTTTTTTTTTAAATAATAGCCCACGCATGCTCAGGTTTTGGTTTTTTTTTTTTTTTGCTTCTTATTAATCTTATCAATGACCTTTCTAATGTTGGTGTATTTTTTTTTTTTATTCTTTTGAAATAATAGCCCACGCATGCTCAGGTTATATCATACAGCTTCCTGTGCCAAGTTTTCATTAGCTTGTGTAATCAATGTATTTATTTTGTTGCAAAATGTTTTAAGAAGTTGCAATAAGTTTTTTTGAATGCTCAAAATTTCACTAAGAAGGACATTGATATAGATACAACTTGTTGGTCTTATTTCATTGTCTATATCCAGAGGGGGGAAAAAATAGAAATAGAGATATGTAGCTAGGATAAAAGTAGGGTGTTGGGGTCCATTTATACTGTAAATCATCTCGTAATTGAACAACCCCTAACAACAAAGTTTTCGTTCAAATCCTTTGTAAGATGTTATATCTGGCAATTCGAGGGTGGGGCTGACAATTTGAAAAAAAACATGCATACAAGTAACTCACTTTGTAAGAGTCCCAATTCTTGCTCGACCCCCCCCCCCCAAAGGCTTGCAACCACACATTTTTCATGCCCCTGAACTATATTAATATTCTAAGGACCCTCCAGCTTTTACACCACAGATTTATTTCGGAAACTATTTCAGAAAGACAAAAGAAAATATTATGAACGCACTTGCGATATTTTGTAAAAGAATCTCATTCATTGCATTTGTTGGGAATTTCATTTCAGTGGCATCATATTTCCTTCATCTTCCCCTTGAAAAACAGGACAAAAAAATGATTTTTGGGGGTGGGGCTGAAAATTTGATAGAATGTGTTGTCATCAAGAATGAGTCTACATGCCAATGTCAGTTCGATAGGTTGACAGGAAGTGGGTCAATGAGCCATCTGAAGATTTTACCAGCCAAAGACAAAAGTGAAGTTATTATAAAGATTTTTTATTTCTATATTGTTACCAAGAAGGAAATGTTTGTTTTGAATAAGAATTTTAATAAAACAGGAACTTTTAATTATTTAATATTAGTGTCCATTGAAATGAAAAAGGGTGAAGTTCAACATTCAGAAACCATATATTAAAACAAAATGATATTTTGATTGCTGTTTTGAAAATTATTCTTTTTCCTAACATCGTCAAATTTAGGTTATTTCTTAAGAAATTGCAAAATAAAATATTTTTTTTAAAATCACCATTTGAATTTGTTGCAATGAAATTTCACTTACTTCCTGGTATCAATGTTTTTACTAAATTCCAGTGCACAATAAAAATGATTCTTCCTTTTACCTTTGATACTGGCTATTAGGTATTATAGAGCAGTATATAAGTACATTTATTCCTCTAATTACCGGTAGTTAAACATGTTTGTGTTTAATGTTGGTGAACTTTTTGTTTCAATTTTTTTCAATTTTATTTCATCACACTACTTTTCAACTATTTTATGATTAATTTTAAATTATTATAGCTCACAATTTATGAAATCCTGTTTTTAAAGTTTTGCTGTTGTGTTGGCACAATAAAACTTTTTTTCATGTTAGTGTAACAGACCTGTTTACTCTTACGATTTTGGTGTACAATGTACGATTTTGAGGTGTTAACATGTATACTGTAAGTTTATTTTTTTTCTATAATATAAAGTATTGAATGATTTTGTGATAATATTGTATGATTTTTAGAGTATGAGGGTAAACAAGTCTGGTGTAAGTTATGGATGGCATTGATCAGTTGCCTCAGTTACTTCAAATTAGGAAAATTTTATCTTAAATTAGTTTCATTTAATTTACTGCTTAACTGTGAATTTGACCAGCCTTGTGAAGCTAAGTTTGTGCTGAAACATCTCGTTAATTTACTTTTAATTTTGCTTTTATTTGATACAGAGCACAGAGTCCAAAGGGGATGAGCCAGACGCAAGTGCAGTAGCAGCCCTTGACCTGGACAAAAAAGAAGAACAAGCACCAGAATTTGAAGAGTCTTGATCAGAAAGCTAAACGTCAACAGACTGGGAAATGTTTGAATGAATGGGAAATTGAAAGACATTAAGTTTAGATTAACTTGATGTTTCCATGGTAACCATTTTTAACCAAGCTTTAAATAGTTTTGTTTTTTTTTCATTTCAGAGTGGGATTTTCTCTCAAAAGAAATTGGCGACATACCAAAGTGTTCTTATGAAGTTAAACTATTAGTCAGTTTTTTCTTTTGTACAGTGCACTTTGATGTGGTGACAACACCGCTGGACAATAATCTGGTATCTTTAGATACCCTTGTCTCATTGTCAGTTTTGATTATGCCCCTTGTGTCAACAAACATTTTTTCTTATTCACCAATCCTTGACAGGGTGACTCACATTGTGTGAGTGATGTGTGTTTAGCGGGGGTGGGGGTTGGGAGATTGGGATGGTACTATCATTTCTTGTCTGGACATTTATGTAAATAATATCTTATGAACAATTTTTTGATATTTTTCTATTATAAATTCTTAAAACAGCACTATTAACCATTTTAATATTTTTATTTAGATATATCAAATTTTGTATACATTTTAGCTTTTTTTTAAAATTTGTTTTGGGTGATGTAATGATAAGTTTCTGTATGTTGTAACTCATTGTGAGTCATTGATTCTGACATGGTGAAATAACATGTTTATAGAATTATTTTATGTCTGAGCTTTGGAACTTGTCTTTTAAACTAATTTTTTTTACATATATAAATGTTGTGGCATGTCAATGTTAATACTCAACAATGAAGTTAAATTCAAGAAGACTGGGTTGTTTTTGGCTTCATCTCGTCAGTCAAATGCGCTGAAGTGACTAGACCAACCCTAACAGCAAATTTGAAGTATCGGGTATTGAAAAAAAATTGTTCAGAGTCATTGAGAAATTTATTAAAATTTTGTGCCTTCTTGACTTATAATTATAATTAGTCTCAGAGCCAGCATTACTAAATAAAAATAAATTTCTATTTAAAGATTTTTTTTTAAAGTGTTCACAGCTACTTCAAAGTCTGTTTATTGTGAAAATTAAAAAGAACTAATAAAAATCTTGGACATGGAAAGGAACTAATCAAAGTGCTTCCATCGCTATGAAATTTTCACCTGAGTCAGCATTCTGGCTCTGAGCCTGTGTCAAAACCATGTCATTATGTACCCAAATTAGCCGCAGAAAAATCACATAGAAATAAACATGGGTCTGTTGGTCAAACATTTGCTTAAAATTAATTAATTTTTTATTTTAAACAACATCAAAAAATTAGTGATATTTGGATGATAATATCTTGACCAAGTTTAAATGTATGTCTATGCAGCTTTCATATACACTGAGGTTGGTTGGTTTTTTTTTAATATCCCTTTGATTTAAACGAAGCAAAACAGTGAGGCAAATAATTATTGATTTTAAAAAAAAAAAAAACTTTATATTTTAATAAATTATTATTTGGAAAAACTGAATATAATCTCTAAAGTATGACGATGGTCAGAATGGGGTTTTATACTTTTATAATAATCCAATGTTCATGGGCTCGACTCGATGCTTTTGTATTACTAGTGTAAGCTTTTTTTTTTTCAATCCTGTTTCCTGTTTGTTAAGAAACACAAAGTACTGTAAACTATTCAACGGCATGACATATTCTGATGGAGGCTTTGAAGAAAATAATTCTTGTCCAGTTTAAGAATAAACCTAATCGGTTGATGGGTGTAAAGTGCTTGAGCTCAACAAAAACAGTGTATTTTTTTAACAGTGTGTTTTTTAAATATTTTTCTACAAAGCCTTAAAAACTTGAACTTATGTGTATTTCAGGACTCATTGATTTATTCTTATAACTTCATCTACAATAAGATGGCAGTAGTAGTTAGGCCTATATGGATGTCTTAGTTTATCATGTATTTTAGCTGTTGCTCTTGTTAGTGGTGGCTGGCTCGGCATTACATGTGGCTATGGGTCGTGTGAGCACCAAACTGCCGTCAGAAATTAAAATATTTTCTTCGTTTTAGCAAATTTTTTTTTTTTTACATGCTATTGTTCTATAATCTATATAATGATTGGTGTGTTTTTATACTCAGTGAGATTCTTGTGGGTGTTTTTCTCAATTATTTTGTAACTCAACATTATAAAAATGTGTAGAAGTCTCGGAATTAAAAAAAAAAAATTTGTCTAATCATGTTCAGGTGCAGAGTGTAAATTGAAGGGGTTTTTTTTAAGCGTCTGCGGTGTTGGTCATGACCCGCAACTTTAATGAGTTAGCATTACCTGAAATTACATGAAGTGTTTTAATATTTTCTTTAAAGATTTTTTTTTTTTACTCCAACTATTCTGAAAATCTACCGTTAATGTTTTAATGTCTTACATTTATGCAGATTGCAAATGCACATTTGTGAGAAGATGCAATATTTATCAATGGCACACATCATAGTTACTTCCTCTTTCTAACACGATGCATGTATTTTAATTTATGCTCCTGTTTCTTTTATAAAAAATTTCAATTAGAATTACCTATTCTCTATAACATTGTCAAGGAACACGTCTTGATCTAAACCATGTCTGTTATCATGTTTGTATCTTATGTGTAGCATAAGTCTTCGGTACTTAACACTCAAACTACTTACTTGATTCTGATTTGTCTATTTTAACAATATCCTATTCCATAATGTGTCCTTTGGTGCTAAACCAGCGGTTCTCAACCTGTGG